TTATCTGTCGTAAATTTTAAAAGTGATATAATAGTTTTTTCTATAGTAAATTTTTCATTTTATCTGTCGTAAATTTTAAAAGTGATATAATAGTTTTTTACAGTAAATTTTTCATTTTATCTGTCGTAAATTTTAAAAGTGATATAATAGTAATAGTATATAGTAAATTTTTCATTTTATCTGTCGCAAATTTTAAAAATGATATAATAGTTTTTTCTATAGTAAATTTTTCATTTTATCTGTAGTAAATTTTAAAAGTGATATAATAGTTTTTTCTATAGTAAATTTTTCAATTTATACGTCGCAAATTCTAAAAACGATATGATAGTTTTTTCTATAGTAAATTTTTCAAAAAAATAATTTTACACGCCAATTTTAACAAAATACGAAATAAACTACGTTTCAGTATGTTTCTTATGTGAAGAAACTTTTGATCGTACGTACGTTCTCCAGAGAATTTTAAAAAAATGTATATGTTCATTTCTGTAGTTGCACAAAAAAAAAGAATTGACCGTCCGTACGGGCACTAATGTCGCTCGTGTTTGTACGGACATTTTGACCGTCCGTACTTTATATACTTTAACTGTTTTTGACCGTACGTAACTGTTTTTGTCCGTCCGTCCGGGCACTTATGTCCCTGAGCTCTGCACCACCACCTCAACTGAGTAAAAACGTCATATTTTTTCTATATATTTTGAAATATTCTAGTTGTTAATTTATTTATCTATTTTTACGATTTTAGGCAATGAACTTTTCCCAGGCGATCCAGTTGAATATGATTTGGGCGATTTCAATTAAGTTTTTCGGCCTTCTGCCCTCGAAATTATGATTCAAATTCAGAGACAATACAAATTAAAGAAAGTGAAGTGAAAAAAAAACTATGCAAAAAAGTGATATTATAAGAACAAAAAATGAACAAAACAAATAAAATGAATGAAGTTGAAAAAAAAGACAAAAAAGAAGAGAGCGAACAGAGCAAAAAAAGTTATGGACACAGAACAAAAGTGATAGGACACAGAAAAGGACAATGAAGTTCACTTCAGCAAAGACAAAAAGAGGAGGAGGAAACCTCTTTAAAAAACCTGCCGTATTGGGCGTATTCAATTAAATGGGTAAGAATCAGATATTATTTTCAGTCAGATTTATTTATGCTTTCACCGTTTTCTGTTGCAAAATGTAGCGGTGTCCATTTAGAAGAAGATTCCGCGCTAATATTAGCCCCCTTTTCGATGAGAAATTCCGTTACATCCACACTGCCTAAAACATTAATCAAACAAATCAAAATTCATAGGATTCTCCAAACGATCTATTACCATTTTGGGCAGCGAAATGGAGCGGCGTCCATTTATTTATAGTTTCTGCATTAACATCAACCCACTTTTTGATCAAGAGCTCTGCAATATCCGATGCGACTGGAAAGTTAATAACAAACATGATTATAGATAAAAGAGCTTGCAATTTAAATTATTCATCACCGTTTTCTGCAGCTACATGAAGCGGTGTCAATTTATTTATGTCTGTTGCATTAACATCAGCCCACACTTCGATGAGAAGCTCAGCAATTTTCAATTGACCTAAAAGATTGATAAAAAATGAAAATGAATCATCATGATTGGGTTTAATTGCTGCGACTGTTACCAGATTGTGCTGCAAAATGGAGCGGCGTCCATTTTTTTATAGTTTCTGCATTAACAGAAGCTCCATATATCCAGAGAAGATGAACCATATCCCCATGACCTGGAAATTCAATCAAACATTCAATGAAATTCATAGTTCGAATCAATTGCTTGGACTATTACCCTTTTCTGCAGCGAAATGGAGCGGATTCCATTTATCTTTAGTTTCTCCATCAAAATCAGCCCCGCTTCTGATGAGGAGCTCGGCAATATCCGTTTCACCTGGAAAGAAAATCAAAGAGACAATGATGGTATGCAGTCATATTTTGACTAAATAAGTACTATTACCAAATTTTGCAGCTACATGGAGGGGCGTCGTGTTGTTTTTACTCTTTGCATCAACAATAGCTCCATGATCAATAAGTAGCTGCACAACATCCTTTCGGCCTGGAGGATTTATCATGATTTTTGCAAAAAATAAACATTGAAAGATCATAGTTCGGCTCAATTGTTTGCATGCACTTGCAATACCTATGTTATTTTAGACTCGTTACTGTTCTTCTTTTTAAAAAATGTATGCGTTCAATGAAATGGCAAATGCGATATGAAAACTGCTGTTAACTTGACCATATATGATATTAGTTTGTTCCGTCTTCTATGTCATAGTCATTCAAATATACAGGACAGAAGTAATTGAAATATTATTAATAAATTAAAAAAGTTCGAAATTTCTATTAGCTGAAACGTTCGAATTTTTTTTATGTTTAAGCAGTCTATGTATTTCAGATAGATATCCATCCGAGATATTTTAGAATATCTGGATATTCAACGCATCTGCACAGCTCCAGAGCTGTGTGCGTCGCAAATAGAATCTACGGTATGTCGCGACGTATATGTGTATCAAGTGTCGCACGTACACAGTCACACTGTGTCTGTATTTTACGTGTAGCGACATACCGTAGATTCTACGTGCGACACACACAGCTCTGGCTCTGTGCAGCTGCGTTAAATATCCAGATATTCTAAAATATCTCGGATGGATATCTATCTGAAATACATAGACTGTGTTTAAGTTGTTTTTTAGTTTTGTTGTTTGTTCAATTGTTCATATCGTATTTGCCATTTCATTAAACGCATCCATTTTTTTGAAGAAGAAGAACATCTTTCAGTCTCACTCGTTTCCGCCACACGATTGTTTCTACAATTACCAATAGACTATCCCAGAAAACTTGGGAGTTTTTCAACTAAGTCTATTAATTTACCATACTGTACAGCATAATGTAGTGCGTATAATGTATTTTTGTCAACTGCATTAACATTAGCCCCATGATCGGTGAGAATTTCGGCCACAATTATACTACCTGAAAGATTAAATCGAACAAACTTCATTGAAGTAAATCCTCTAGTTCGAGTCGATAATTTATACTTCTTTGTGCAGCCAGATGTAGCGGCGTTTGTTTATCTTTATCTTCCGCACTAACATTAACCCCATGACTGATGAGAAGGTCGATCACATCCTTATTTCGACCTGGAAAGCAAAGAATCAAACATTAAAAGGAATTCATGGTTCGAATCGATTGCTTGGACAATTACACCAATCTATATCAGAAGCTATATGTAGCGGTGTTCGTTCGTCCCTATTTTTTGCACTAACATTAGCCCCACGATTGATGAGAAGTTCGGCTATATCATTTTTACCTGGAAAGCAAAGAAACAAAAATTAAAAGGGATTTATAGTTCGAATTGATTGATCGAACTATTACACATTTTTACAGCGCAAAGAAGCGGCGTTTCTTTATTTATATTCTCTGCATTTATATTAGCCCCATGATTAATGAGAATTTCGGCCCCATCCTTTCTACCTGGAAAGTAGCCAAACATTAAATGGAATTCATAGTTCGAGTCGAACTGTTCGACTCGATAGTTTGCAGTACAAATTTTGCAATATTACCAATTTTTACAGCCGTATGAAGTGGAGTTCCTTTTTCTTTATATTCTGCATTAATATTGATCCCATTACTTATGAGAAGTTCGACCATATCCATATTATCTGTAAACCAAAGAATCAAATATTAAAAGGAATTCGTAGTTCGAGTCGATAGTTTGCACTATTACCATATAATATAGCGTAATAGAGTGGAGTTTCTTGCATAATATCTTCTGCATTAGTATTACCACCATGACTAATGAGAAGTTCGACCATAGCTGTGTTATCTAAAAATAAAGGAATCAAACATAAAAAGGAATTTATAGTTCGAATCGATTGTTTGCATTATTACTTTTTATTGCAGCCTTAAGTAGCGGTGTTTGTTTTTTTATATCTTCTGAATTAACATTTGCACCATGATTAATGAGATATTCGGCCACATCCTTCTTACCTGAAAAGCAAAGAATCAAACCAGAGTCCTGCTTAGTCAAAAACTTGACCTATTATCATCGTTTTTTTTATTACAACTTATTAGTTAAGCCTTATTAGTTTTAACAAACATTCTTAAGTAATTAGTTATACTCATTATCAGTTATCACAAGTTACTTGCTTGACTAACGTCGAATTTTATTTCTATTTAGAAAAAGAAAGCATGAAAAATTCGTATAAAAATGAGAAATGCAAAAATAATTTTGTGATTTATTCAATTCAATTCGTATTTCTTTTTTTTATTTTTCATTTTAGTAGTTGTATTTCAAAGAATTTTGAAATTCGCACAGATATAAAAGAACACAATAACCTGTGCTTGATGTACTTAGTTGCTTAGTCTGTGTTTGTGTATTGGTGTAAAGTCATTAACTCACAGCAGAGCAACAAACAAATTTTTTTTCCTGCAAAAAAAAAACTGAAATATCAAAAATATTGATATAGACGAAATTTGACGTTATTCAAGGTTTCTTAACTAATGTTATTTTAATAACTGCTAATTAGTCAAGCCAGTAACACATGATAATTGATAATGTGTATAACTAACTAAGATTTAACTAATTAGTTGATAGTTATAATGATAATCATTTATCAAAATTGTCAATTTGCCGGAAAGTGAATCAAACATTAGGATTCATAGTCCGACTCGATTGTTTGCACTATTACTTCTTTGTGCAGCTAGATGTAGCGGCGTTAGTTTATCTTTATCTTCTGCAGTAATATTAGCCCCATGATTGATGAGAAGTTCAACCACATCTTTTTTACCTGGAAACCGAAGAATCAAACATTAAAAGGAATTCATAGTTCGAATCGATTGTTTGCACTAATACCCTTTCTTCTAGAAGCAGCTATATGGAGCGACGTTCGTTTATATTGATCTTCTGCAGTAATATTAGCCCCATGATTTATTAGAAATTCGACCACATCCTTCTTACCTGCAATCCAATGAATCAATCATTAAAAGAAATGCATAGTTTGACTCGATTGTTTGCAGAGTTACCTCTATGTGCAGCGTAATGGAGCGGCGTTCGTTTATATTGATCTTCTGCATTAATTTTAGCCCCACGATCGATGAGAAGTTCAACCACATCCTTCTCACCTGGAAAACAAAGACTCAAATATTAAAAGGAATTCATAGTTCGAATAGATTGTTTATTCACTATTACGTACCATTTTCTACAGCTAAATGTAGGGGCGTTTGTTTTTCTGTACCTTTCGCATTAACATCAGCACCATGATTAATGAGATTTTTGGTCTCATTCTTCTTACCTGGAAACCAAAGAATCAAATACTGAACGGAATTCATAGTTCGAATCGATTGTTTGTACTATTACCATATTTTATAGCTTCATGTAGCGGCGTCAGTTTATCTAAATTTTCTAAATACTCGCTAGCTGTAACCCAAAGAATCAAAGATTAAAAAAAATCATAGTTCGAATCGATAGTTTGCACTATTACCCCATTGTTTAATTGTAAAAGGTTGATTGTTCTTCTCGGCATAATAATCTAACCAATAACCTGGAAATTAAATTGAGCTTAATGATTGACGAATAGCACGGCGGTCGGCAGTTAAGCCATAGATCAAGAAAAAATATCAAAGTTTGAAAATCGGTCCACCTGTCTTCAAAATACGGTCCTTTGTGAATTTTATGCAGTTCAACAAAACAAGTTTAAAATTTATTTTTCTATCAAATATAAAACCATTCTAACAACCGATAACAACATAGAAGTTACTATTTTGGATACCTCTAATAAAAACCGGTTGGGCCTGTCAACATATTCAACTTGCTATTTTTCTTGGATAGTCTAATGTACAAATATTTAATCACAAAACACGGAAAAATTTGGATGCGTACTCAAAATTTCGTGAACTCAATGTGTTTGTTTTTCTATTTTCTTTATCTACCAACCATTTTGCTTTCATCACATTTCATCGATAAAGGTTTTCTATAGTATTTTATACAAAATACGTGAAACTGCGCTCAGGAATACTATAGAGCGATCAAAAAAAAGTTTAGCTACCTTAATTGATGTTATGATCGTATTTGCACATTTATATTATACATAATTTCATAAAAGTTTAAAATTACCATCTCCATCGGATAATAGAAATGGAAATTCGTCAGACAGTTCACAGGCACACACTTTCAGACACAAACACATTAAAACAATCACACAGTCCACTTTCATTGTTACAAAAGATGTATGTTTCGATTTATTATTTTACACAGACTTTTTAATAAAATTGCAAAAAAAACTTTTTGATTTGGAATTTTGTTAGAAGTATTATTAGTACAAATTTCTTCGGCAACGAATATACTTGCGCTTAGGATTGAATGAGCGATACAAGTGATTTTCTACTTGTCTCAATACATTGTGACTGAAATTTTTTGGCTCAATTTTGATTCAGGCAAAACTACATGTATTGTGTGCATGTTTCGAATTGTGCGTCTTAAATATGAATCAATCTTTTGATTAGCTATAATAATATACACAAGTTTGAATAGATATTGTATCATAAGCAATGAATAAGAAAATACAAAGTCATATCCATCTGAGTCATTCATACAACAACAAGCATTTGAATGTCATTTTCAAATTAAGATCACTTTCATTCTTATCTATTCGTCGAATGTTTTCAACAAACAAATTGTTCATTCTAGATATCATAATACATTATAATATAATAGAGATACAATAGAAGTATTTTGTGTGAACTTCATTTTTTTCTGTTGAATGAATGATCTCACTAGAAATTATTTGAAACAGATCATGGAGCGACAAGTGATGCTCCCGGCAAATTTTGCGTCATGCATATATATAGCAGCGAGTTCTGAAAATGTTTAGCATTGAATTTAAGCCATGAATATTGATGTCATGACATATGATATATGCTCGGAAGGTCATGGAAAAACTGAACAAAATTTTCATAGAAAATATTGTTTGATTGAATTATTATTCCGTTTATAGTTATTCAGTCAGTGCATTTGAATCAGAATGCAAAGATTAAACTGACGCAAACAAACCTAATTGTCTTTAATTACAGTCGAATTCTAAAGAATAAATATGAAATTAAAAATGTCTGTGCACAATTTTTTGGAAATGCTTCTTATTTTACTTCTTTCAATACATCTGCGGACACTTTTTTTTAACATTTTTAAGCAACGTGAAATTTATTTACCAAGCAATTTTTCTTGACTAAAGTCGATCAAATATTTTTGTGTTCTTTCAATTCAGTTCAGCCTTGAAACCTTGGAAAGAATTTTTTGCAACCTTCATAAGTTGATTGCTTGTTAACTGGGCAAGATCCAATCAAACCCGAAATGGCACAGTCAATGCTTATGTGTCCTGTTTTTCTGCAACCACGTGGATCCTTATATTCTGAACGAAAGTCAAATTTAACTGCGTTCACACATTCGGCCACAGTTTCATTCACCACGGCTTTATGATGATCATATGGATCTGCGTATTTAGTTATGAAGTCTTTATAATTAGTTTCATTCAAAGTTCCATCGGTATTGAGCTAAAAATGAAGAAACCAAATGAAACAATTGAAACGAATAAAATAATAGTATTGGACTACCAATCCTGTTTTATTTGCAATGCACTCTGTGTAGCAATGGTATTTAGTTGGTTCCCCTGGTTTATCTCGACCTACAAGTAAATGCTTTCATTGAATCTGTGAATTTTTGAATTTTTCTAACTTTATTCATACCAAATCTTTTATAGCATTCGTCTACAAGTTTTAAAACTCCTTTGTGAAAATTGGTTTTGGCGTCCTTCTTTTCAATATTACAGCATTTATTTGGATTCCAGAATGTTTCCCAAAAGTAATCGGAATTGGATTTATCATCAGATTGAGCGTTTTCACGCTTTGAAAAGAACCTTCTACAGAATTTTGAAGTGGACTCTTTGTCAGTTGGACAAGATTCAATCAGAGAATAAATAGCACAATGAATGGTTAGATGCCCTGTTAACCGGCAACCATTTCGATCCTTAAATTCTGGCTTATATTCGGATTTGACTGCATTCACACATTCGGTCACAGTTTCATTGACAACGACCTTTTGATGGTCAAACGGATCTGAATATTTGGTGATAAAATCTTTGTAATTCGTTTCGTTCAAACTTCCATTCGAATTGAGCTAGAAATGAAGCAATAATTAACACACTGACAAGTAAACTGACTTAACGTAAATGCCATAGTTTTTTTTTATCACTTCAAAACAAAGTAAACAAAATATGTCATATTTTTGGTTCTGTTATATACACCGCCAGAAACTGACTGTTTTTAAAGTCATTCTCTAGCTATAATTTGAAAAGTTAAGGTGTAACATTACAGAAAAAATTCCATAAATGGCATTTCCAAAAGGAAATCATTAATTTAGCCATTATGCAATATCGGCTCACCAGTCCTGTTTTGTTAGCCACACATTCAGTGTAGCAATTGTATTTTGGTGGTTCTCCAGATTCGCGTGGACCTAAAAAACAATTTTATTCCTTGAATGTTCTGACCACTTGGATACTATTTTTGATAATACCAAATTGTTGATAGCATTCGTCAATAGATTTTATAATTCCTCCATGGAAATCGGTTTTAAAGTACTTGTTTTCAACATCACAGCATATATTAGGATTCCAAAATGTGTGCCAAGCATCAATTGGTTTCGGTTTATCACCAGATGCACCTGGACGATTTTCTTCAGATGCTGAATAAACAAAATCAACTAGAACTATTGAGATAATCACAAACATGCACAAATAAACTTTCATTTTCAATTCTCTTTCATGAATTTCTCCTTAATCGTTCTGTTTCACTTATTCAGAATTTAAATTTGATTTAAAATTTTATCAATTATTGAATTTTTAGCAAGTGTTCAAACATTCAAATTACGAGCAAGTGAGTCTACTGGTATAATCAATTTATCATAACCGTTTATATAGATTTTCATCTGTGTGCAGTGTGCACTATGTGTGAAATTACGCAAATCATTATTAATTTTGAATTATTATTCATTATCGCCAAAAATTCAAAAAACTAAAAAAAAATCTAATACATATGTGGAAAAAAATAAATTATAGATTGGCAGCAATTGTGAAGTGTCATATTTGTTTTTTGTTGATTTTGCAAGTCCTACAAATTTGTATTATTATTTTTTTAAATGAAAATGATTCATAGTTATTCAAAGATATTTATTAGTTGAATATTTTCTACTTACAATTCGTTGAACCTGTTCTTTGGCCAAATTCGAATTTTTATTCGAGGTTTTTTATTCCAGGTGAATTTTCATTTCGCGAAACGATCTCTAGTACCGATATACATTACAAAGTTTCAGTCCAAATTTCATTGGAAAAGAAAAACGTCATTCAAGTAGATTCATTCAAGTGTTTTATATATTTTTATAATACCAAAAGTCAATGCACGCGGTTGAGTCGAAGCGGATAATTAAAATGGTTACAATTGATGAAGCACTTTATTGAGTTTTGTGTAATTAAAACGTTATGAACGTCATTACAATGATGGACGTTTATGTGTGACCAACATTTGTTGGAAACAAGTTAACTAACCCACATTGTTATGACACAATGATCACATCCAATACGATCACACAAAATATCCGAATTGCTGCTACATTTTTGCCTTTTTTCATTGTCACGGCACATTGAATATATGAAGTAGTTTGACGTCTGTCAGTCATTCTGTCTGAATTAGCGAAAGCCTCAATGAATATCGGCTTTAAATCAAATGAAGAAAGACATCAATATTTTTTTCAATTCTCAATCAATTCTTTTTCAGCCGATTATAAAAATGAACATTTTTCCGAAATGAAAAAGTTCTTGCTTGAAATGCTGTCGAAATGAATGGCTTTCTCTGTAGATGTAACACGATGAATCATTCGAATGTAGAATGCAGCTGAAGAGTAGTGTTTTCTTCATCGTGACATGAATTCCGAAGCAACGGTTTGTTTTTCTCTCTCTAATAACCACAAGGTCTCTTTGAATTCGTTGAAAGTCGTTAAAAAGTTTGCATCTCAATTGTTTTGTGCCTTCAAGCTTTTATTCATTTTCTATAAGAATTTCATATTTTCATTTTTATTTTCTTTCAAAATATCGGAAAGTAAAGAAAGTGCCTCACTTGGCACAGTGAACTTTACCAATGGCATTTTGTTGTTGTTTTCTCTCTTGCTTTGGATTAATTGAATTAAGCAGATAGCCGTCAATTGATTTTATAAACGAAAATGAATGTGGGAAGTGGTTCATTGCCAGTCATAGGCATCCATTGTGGTGCTTGTCTGCTTGAATTTGTTTACGGTGGCTTTTTTGTATTCAAAAGAAACAAAAATGCCGAATTTTCTCATCTCGAAACTTTGTTTTTTCGGTACCGCTTTCACTTCCATTTTTTTTTTACCTCAAACAAAGTTCAGTGAGAACAAATTGCGAAACAGCTAAGACCAATTTTATATATTGAATGTAATAAATTCATTTGCATAATGAGCCAAAATTATGCTCAGCAATGGCATGACGAAGGCGTGAAAAATTTAACCACACTTTAAATTGGTAAAACTAATAGTTTGTATTGAATGCACTTGTTACAATTTTCAACGGATTTAAGAAGTAAAAATTAGTTTAACAAAACATTCAATGTAATCGATACAATTTGAAGCGCTCCATGTGACCAATTACGAATGGGTGTCATACACACACTCAACGGTATTCGATTTCTTACTCAAGATCATTGTTCAATTTTTCAACGTGATTGAAATCCATTTGATCATTCGACGTACGCTTATGAATCGAGTGTGTTTTTTTTAATCTACAGAGACAGTCCATGAAGTGACAACAAAGGAGAAGACAAACAGCAGACATACACAGAGAGAGATACAAAAATAAGCATCGCAGAGAGAAAAGATCGATAGTTGAACATGAACTGACAAAACAACTTTCTCTAAATGCTCTACCAATAAAACATTTAATAAATGGTGTGTGTGTTTTTTTCTCTCCATTTGGTACAGTGTACGTTTACAAATATATGTATAGTAAATTTTATGATGCCAATAATACAAAATAGTTCTCACTGATCTTTCGCTCTCTGTGCACACACCATTTCGATTTTCACACATCATATTAGAGTGTAAAGTAAGTGCACAGTGATAATTTGTGTATTTCTTTCTCTCTTTACATTTTCATATAATTCATTACCGCGTGTATAGCGCCCGATATTTATTTGCCGAACAATAAGTTATTGACACACTGTGGGCCATGTTAAATGGCAACAAAATATGCCAAAACATAGAAAACAATGAATAAAACAATGCTAACGTAATTGAGAAATTATGATTGGATCGGCTTTTTTATTGCGGTAGGTAATTGTATTTATGGAACGTGCGCGGTACGATTCTACATTTGTAATTTATTGTATTGTACAGCACAAAAAATCGCTCTTGATAAATTAACATAAATTGAATGAAGACTTCATAAAGATAAGTTGAGAAGAGTGTATTAATTTGAAATTGAATTCAAAGTTGAATCTCTGAATATATTTGATCGATGAAATGCATGTTTCATGAGCCGGGCATGTCTGTGCAAATATCGGTGATTTAATTTCAATAATGTTGGCAAAATCAAGTTTCCAAAGGTGGATCCGCACATCGTGTACACTATGGTTTTACTGAATGATTTTTTTTTATTTGTGTGACTAAACATTGAGATGTTTAATCGAATGGAAAATGTTGGATGTTGGCTCTCGCCGGCACAGATACACATAGATTGTATCAATCGTTGAACTTCATTGTTTTATTGTTTGATCATGATTCGTGATCGTTTGAAACTGCTTAAATTGAAAATGGTTACAGTACAAATCTCGGAATTCATCAGCACTATTTTTTTATTTACTCTTTTTTTTATTTAATTCATTTCGTACACACAGATAATAAGAAAAAACAATACACTTGATTATGTTAACACGTAACTACATTGCAAAAACAACACAAAACCGCTTCGATCATGATTCATGAAAATAAAATAAAAAAAGAGTGAAAGAAACCTTGACTTTGATTGCACACATTCGGTTTTTATAGACATGTTTGTTGATTGAATCAGCACACATCAACGACGAACATCATTCTATTCGCATCTTGTGCTAACCATTATTTCGTGCAAATGAAGACGATACAGAAAACAATGTGCATTCCATTACGTTGCAAACATTATAATCGTTTAACTTTCCATTAATTTCTGATTAAGCGCGCGTTACAATGGCGTCCAACAACAGTTTTTTAGCGGAAGGATTTTCCACTTTCTTTTGCAATTAAAATATCACCGTCAAATTGTGTTATTATTCAATTAATCTATGTGCATCGTGTTTGCACTGTTCTGACAATTAACCAGCAGCGAAAGTTGGAAATTCAATGCGGAATACACATTGAAATTATTTTCAATGAGTGACAGTTGAGGAAATTTAACGACCGTAAAATATTCATTTAAATTCTAAACAATTTAAAATAGAAAATTGACCAAGAATTTGTAGATATTTTCACTGTTTGCATTAAATTCAGAACAATAGGCTTAATGATCCGTGACAAAAGAAAATGCCACCATGTCATTTCGATGAAATCCGAATTTGATTGCGATTAAATTTTGATAATTTTATGGACATTATTCTAATATGGGTATTATTCACGCTTCAACGAACATTCTGCAATTGACTTTCATTCGGTGTTTTATGACAAGATTTGAATGAATACATTATCGATTTCTATCACATTTCGTGATTTCTATTCTATAATGTCATCTTTTGAATATCAACATCATTCGGCTTTCAGCGGCAGTGTTTTTTGTGTGATTTTGTTCGACATTCTAATTTGAACCATTTGGCATGTTTGTAAAAGTAATTGTGTAGCAGTAGCAATTGGATGTTATTAATACCTTTAGGCGACGTAATTATATCTGATCATCGAATATTTATAATCCTCATCACAGAAAAAGCGAAATTTTCACGATTTGAACAGCAGCAACCGATCCGATTAAGCAATTTTCTTAATGATTCTCGTTCATGCTGTGGGCATCACATTATACTTTCGCTGCGATATTCTTTTATTATCATTTCCCAACGGCTGTGTTGAACAGTTTGCATTCGCCAAAAATGAACCATGCATAGCGGTAGTAATACTCATCGACATTTTGTCATAATCGTCATCGCAATATTCGAATCATTTTACAGCCCGTGAATCGATCGTTCCGTATATGCGGAAGAAAGCTTAAGCCACTTGAAAAAATAGAGCACAACATACACACGTTTTAAGTTTCCATGAATGTGTGCATGTTTTCAAAGAAAACGATCATCACATTACTAAAGCGCAAGTTCGAAGTGATTGCAAACAACGAAAAATTGCATTCATTCCATTCCACTGGAATCACATATGCGAATGGAATGAGAAACAAAAAAAAAGAGATCCAATATGAAGAGACAACTGTATTCTGCATTTGTGTGAGCGTATTGAAATAAAACGTATCTCATTGTAGAAAATTCTTAAATAAAAACGGTACTTCGATCATTTTCTGTCCTTTGGCTTATATTCTAGAATGATAACATTGATTTCATTACACATCATTAGTCGTTTTTGTTATTATTGTTTTTTTCTTCTCATTCGGTGGCTTTAATCAGACTCATAAATTGCTTGTTTCATTCAAGTGAAACAGCCAAGCATCTACTTAGGTGCAAATAAACGTGTGTTGGTAAACAGTGCTTCTTTCTCTGCAGCGCGCGCGCAGTTTGTTGTTTTCATCTGCTCTTTTTCACCGTCGTTAATGTGTTGAGTGAATGTGTAGTGAATGTGTAGTGGAATGTTTAAATGTGAAAACCACGTTGCAAGACCAAAAGCGAACAGTGTCCAAAATGGAATGTCGACAACGTGCATGAATAAATTCAAACAAAAATCGGATATATCTCTCATGCGTTTTTATTCATTCTTTATTTCGGTTGTTTCTGCGGCGTTGTGAGCGAATGTGCGCGCGCCAATGCAAAGGTATGCGTGATCGGCTCAAGCCATTTTATACGCATTCAAACACAAACACAAGCAAACGACGTCTACACCAAATGGTATGGTGAGCCAAAAGATATCGCTGCCACTTGGCTCGTATAGTTTGGTAAAATGAATTAGTGTTCAAACGGTGTGCTACGACACAATATCGCATTAACTCGTTCTGTCCGTGCATTCGAATTCAAATCGAAATATGTGGTTTGGTTTGCAGTTCTTTCGAAATCAGACATTACCGTTTTGGCAAATTCTATAATTTGCATATGATTTGCAAAAAAAAAGAGAGAGAAAAGCAACCATTCGATATTTAAAGTGTGTTTTTTCCTCTGAATAGTTTATGTGTTCTGTTTTAAACAATCAAATTCGAAGTCTCAAAGGCAACATTTGACGTACGAAACCTAAATCGAGTCGGTCAAAGAAGTAAAATAACCGTTCGAAAAACAAAACAACAACACTGTTAGTGAATGAACCTAATTTAAGCCACAAATTCATAAGAAGTAAACATAAGAACGGGAAACAAACATAAAACCACGTTAACAACATAATTTTACGGGAAAAAAAAAGGTGAAACTGAATGTTTATTCTTTCCAGTGTGATTCTTTTGTTTATTTGTATATTTTTGATGCTTTCAATCGACGCAGCGCATCATTGAGATTTTTGGCCATGGGATTTATCATTTACGTGACAAAGTCTATTGTTTACAATTCTATTTTAATGTATGTGCGTGGCAAATATCTCCATCGTTTCAATCGAAAGCTGATTCGCTTTCGTTTTATGCGAGAAATTTCGAGTAAAAGAGAGAGAGTGAGAGAACATTTTTATCGAGAAGTGAAATGATAACAAAATAAAAAGTGTTTCGATTTCGTGATATGCCGAACGTAAATATTGTTTATCTCGCTATCATTTCAAGCGTATATCGTGCTCATCCGCATTTTTATGCATGCATGCTTACAACAATCATCTCTTATGCATCATAAATTTTTCGAGCACGAAGAAAACCGTATTAGCCAAATCAGCAGGTTTTTTTCTTGATCCGTGAATCTTTGGCGCTATAGAAACATCTCAGTTATACCAGTTGAGAAAGAAAGCAAATTATTATGTTAAAATCATTTTGAGAGATTTTTTATTCTCGCGCAACCATTTCACTACACATTTTGTTCCGAAAACGATTGCGAGAAGAAGAAAAAAAAAACAGACGGAACGAAAAGAAACATCGAAATTTTTGATATGAATATAGTCTAATACGGTAGCGATCTATGAGTTGGGAAAAACAACAACAAAAACCAACATAAGATACAAGAGAAAATGAATTAAAATGATGAAATTGCATGTAAGAATTAAGGTCAGCGCGATAAATCTAACTGAACACTGAGTATATCAGCTGCTGGCAATTGCATTTGGAGCAAAATACTCTATGGCGATTTGATTTGCGGAACAAGCATATGAGAAATTCCCATTGGGAATTATGGCAGTGGTGTCAAAAGTTTTTCATGATTTGCAACGGTCTTCAGAGACTCTTCATTTACACTTTCAAGTTCATAATAAGTGAACTTCATGATGCGCCGCAAACCATTTCAATCGCCCTTTAGCAATAACGATACTCATTTAAATTTTAAACCGCTTCGTCAAAGCATTTTTCAACACTGACCGATGGACTCTCTTGCTCTCTTTCGCTTTTTCTCTGATTCTGTCTCTATTTCTCTCTTTCCATTTCTTTCGCTCTCTCTGTCTCTGTCCATCTATCACTTGTTCATTCCAATGATCGTTGTAATCAATTATGCGGAATAGATAGCTTTCACTCAATATAAATGTTTAGCGGAACTATTTAGCATATTTACACGATTGTAAATCACCGATGACACACCGATTTCATTCATCCTTTGGGAATTCACACATTTCACGAAATAAATTCAAAAGTAATAAATGAAAATCGTGGATTTCATGTAAATATCACTTTTTCGTGGTTATCGGTGTGGTTGACCGTCATTAGTTTTTGCTTCGATTTGGATTTATTTAGTAGTCTTTGACGTCACTCTTCTTCGGCATTTCTTCAATTGTTTGTAGTCACCTTTCTCTCAAACATATTTCTAACCAGTTGAATCATAATTAGCTAATTCCATCTAGACCCGAGATGGGACCGCTTCATTTGTTTCCATTTCGAAAACAGGTTAAACAATACACATTTGCAATGGTAATTGCCATATTTATCCACCATTCTATCATTGAAGTTTCCAAACATCATTTTTGTTTTGTTCCAACTAATTTGGTTTCTCATTTCTTGCTTTTTTACCACGTTGTTTTTATTTGTTCTTTGTTCTTCGTTCTCATTGTTGTTTAATAGCCGAAATTCATGGTGCTGTGCCTATCCACTGCCACTGTTATTTGCAATAATATAAATGTGTGAATTTACGCTTTACACACTAATTTTAACTCTGACAATTTCATTATGTCAGTTTTTTTGTTATTACTCTTCGGGCTTACGAGACTACCGGTACAAACAAAAAACTGATTGAAGAAAGTAATGACATCCAAACAATCGCGCCTAATTCGCAATTATATCTGATGATCAACGACAAATTTAGACAGAAAAAGACACACACAGAGAGAGAGAGAGAGAGTCTACCGTGAAAAAAAGATAAATGAATATTGATTTCATGCAAAATCATTTTTGATTGTTTCGATTAAATAGTTATTTACTACATAAGTGAGAAGGTGCCCACGTATTTCCACGAAATATTGTATTTATATCAAATAACCATAAAAGAAAAATTCTTCTAAGAAATGAATAGCCATAATAAGTAAGCCATGTTGCAGCTGCTTTCTTCACAATGATTTTTTCCGAAGAAAAACTGAATCAATTTTGATTGAAAAATTATAATGTTCATTGGGCGTGAATCAGTAAAAGAGTACTTGTCTTCAATTTCCGATGCATTGTCAATGCATTTTATCACCTGATTCTAGAATAACATCATATATTTAATTATATGTTCAGACACGCCAATTCGACGACGACTTTCTTCTTTACTCAACCTACATACATGCATTAGTTCTCCTAACAGAAAATGGTACTCTCTCTGTGTATACGGTGGCATACGGAATTGCCGCATCTTCGTTGTTGTCAAGTGCACGTTTTGTGTCTGAGAACACAAATACGTTCCGTGTAAAAGTGGCATTAATGTTGCATTGGTGAACAATTAGATATATATACAATGCCGACCGGTTTCTCATTCATCCAGTGGCCAATGTCATCTCGTACCATCCGTACTTATGTTTCATCTCACAAATTTCTTTTTCAATTTACAGGTGAATGCGGAAAGTATTTTCATTAAATCGATTGCATCGCAACCAAGATAACTCGATACGATAGAAAAGTCGCGAAGATTTATCATAAATAGACAAAGCGGCAATCATAAAATATACAATCTGGAAAATCCGAAAAAGAGCGAGTAGAAAAAACAATTACAACGAAAGATAATAAGAAGAAGGAAGAGAGAAAACGACAACAAAGCAGTATCGGCTTAACATATATACGCGAATGCTTATAAACGCTTCTGCATACTAAAGTAGACGGAAAGACTGCTTCAGTATGACGTATCAATAGTGTTCAGAGTAGTGTTTATCATTTTGGTGTGAGAGAAAGTTCATGCGTATAGTTTTCGATTCGTGTTTACGCATATATTCAACGTGAACCAAAACGGTCTGCACACGACATCATCATATTCGTCAACAATAACAACGCTTTTAAAAATAAAAACAACGACCACGCAAAGAGAGTGAAATAAAAGTAAAAATTCGACAATAAAAACGAAAACAAAAATCAAGATAATCGACGTGGAATATTATTGTCATTCAGATTTCATGTGTTTGATATCAAATTTGAAATTTTTCACACATTAAACACGCCCGAAATGTGTCTAAAAAGATTCAACTGGCAACAATATACACTTTCGATATTGTTGCTAATTGCTGTATTGGTATCGAATTCAAGTCAACAGAAATTTTTCAATTCACCGCGACCCTTTCAAAGGTATTCAAAAGCGGTCAGTGCAAATAATGATGAATTTGTGCCGATTGCGGTACCAACCGAATATAAGCCAGTGTCGGCTTCAACGCAAATAGTTGAAGCCGTTACCTCTGAAACGAAACGTAAAGAACCAGAAACAAATGCAACGCCAACGGTGACATCGCATGCCGATAGACGCACCGATGAAGATGAAATAGATAACAAAGAGAAACCATCAGATGATAAAAATGAAACGGAAACAATTCGAAATATTAACGAGAGTCTTCGAGAGCTACGAGAAATGACATTGGATTTCTTGGCGATAATGAAGCAGAACAATGACGGTGGCATCCAAAAACGATCGGCCAACCAACAACGATCATTTATTACGGACTATTTACTCAACGACAAAGTTATAAATCGCATTAAAAAGTTCACCGAACGGTATATCTTTCAATCGGCAAGCGGTTCAGCGCTTCAAAATATCGTGCCCGATGGTGGTCGACTGTTTTTCTTTAAAGGTAATTTATAATAAAAATTTATAATTTATTGAAAATAAATCGACACAGAAGTCGTTATAAAAAGGCAAAAATACCATTAAATTTCACTTTGCATTCCATCGTTTTAGGCTTTAAAAAATTGATGTGGCCAATCTTTATTGGTGTTCAAGTGGCAAAAACCGTGCTGCTGGCCATGTTTTTACCAAGCATACTCGGTTCATTAAGCAAAATGGTTGGAAAAGGTATGATTTGTATACGAAAAATCAAACAAGCAGAATTTTATTAAATCTTATAAACGCACATTTGTTTAGGTCTTCTATCATCGTCTGGTGTTGGACATCCAGCCGAAACAGTTGACGATTTTGAATTCAAAGACAATCCACCGGTCGAAGAACCAACTGGAGCTGGCATTGGCTACAATTACCCACAGCAAACATTAACAGCCAATCATGCAAATGTCGAACCGAGTTCATATGATACAGCACCGGCTGCCAATAACATGTTATCGTTATATGATATTGCCGAACCAAAGCCACAATTCACGCTAGCCAACACGTACACAATGCCGGAATATGCACAGCACTCGCGAAAAGAAACGTTGCAAAGTAAAAAAGATGACTTCAAAGTATTCCACGACATTCCAGCGTCGTCGATGCTGCTCACGAATTATGATCCATTCTACAGTCCTTTGTTGTCACGACTCGATGCTGTATTCCATCAATTGAACCTAAACGGCGATAATGAAGCATGCCGCGAAAAGCTCGTCTGTTTAATGTACTCAAGCCCAGCCAAATATATGCCGTACAGTAATTTAGTATCGGCGCAATTAAGTCGGTAAGTTGAAAAAAAAAACGTTGATCAATCATGCGCAGCACACAATATACTAACTTAAAACACACACACGCACACATTATTAACATAAACGATTGCCAGAATTCATTCCGCTGGTTGCCAATGGTTTTTTTCTCTTCTGAATCACACCGAACAAACTTGTTATGTGAAAGAGTCACCGACACATCCATATCGAAATGGTTGTTATCATTGAAACGCGCGCGCGCACACGCACGAAAAAATATGCCGAGCATTTAAAGAGAGAGAAAGATATGTATCTGACCCACATTCGATACACTTTTCATTTTTTGTTGTTGCTGTTGCTTTTGCATTAACCCATCGTGCGGTTGAATTCAGTCGACCACTGCTCATCGGTTGCGGAATTTAAAATGATGTGTGTCTCATATATTTCTTTTCAAAACGATCAGTTTTTTCTCTTTTTTCTCTCTCGCATCAAAATTTCTAAATCCACATTCAAATTCATTCTCAGTTTATTAAAACGGTTTGCACGAAAAAAAAAAAAAAAAACATATTAATTTGCAATTCGTTTTCTTTTTCCACCCAAAAAATTAAAATGTCGAAAAAGAAATCAATATTAAATATGGAAAATGGACGGTGTTTGCGTGCAAAATTCATGAGCAGGTTCATGATTATGAGAAATGAATGCGTGTTGGTTTTGTAAAGATATCGTATGTCTTTGGGGTCAGAGTAGATGGATTCGAGATGAAACACACGTGTGCCACACTGAAACGATAGCTTCAGCAATTATTTCATCATTGTTTCTTTTCGGGGTTTTTTCTCTTGAGCACGAAATCATTTTTCATTCATTTTCCGTATTGATGTGCAAAGCAATCACGGCATACCGCGGTCACAGCAGTCTTTTATGATGAATATTCATACATTTTTGCTCATTTACGGTTTGCACAGTGATATTTTGTCGCATGAAAACCAAAAACGTCATACTTTTATGTGTACAGTTTGTCAATTGTCATCTATTCCATCATGTGCCACTTGCTGGTCATTAAATAGAATCAGATTAACTATCTACGTGCTTATATATGAATATATTTGCGCATTTGTATTGAAAATACGCTGAAAGTTGTAACGGTCAATGACCAACTACTTTGAATTGGTTAGAGCGAGAGCCGAAGAGAGAGAGAGAGAGAGGAAAGAAGAGAGATAATAAACCGCTGTTTGAAATGGCTCACTGTTCATAAGTTATAATCAGATAATTCGCTGTTCAAAAGACTCTAATTCATAGAATAGTCATTCATTGTCTGATCGATCTTGATTCGTTTTATGCTTCACATCACATCGCAACAAATTGTAGCATTGCTAGCCTGATTTGACAATACATTTGATTAGCGACTCTGATTACCATTCGATTTCACCGAAAATGAAGATGAAGAGGACGACAACAACGTGTGTGTGTGTTTGCATGACATTTTGGAATTTCTCTGAAAGAGGTCTCATTTTTAATGTAAATCACCTGGTTGAAAATATTAAGAAAAGCGAAAGTATGCAATCATAATCGCTTCACTGATTTATGAACCGCTGTGATCTCGACAAAACTGTGATATTTTCTGTGACATTTGTCATCGCAACTACCAAACAATGGCAATTAATCGAATATGGTGAAATTATGCAGTATCGATGCATGAACCGTCATTTTATTTATTTTTCATACAAATTAAAAACGTTTTTAAAACTTTTCTTTCACTTTTTTTCTCATTCCAGCGAATTGAATGAATTGCGAAAGCCGACATCCGATAATGTGGAGATTTTGAGATTCTTCAAGTATATGCGTGCAGCTCGAGACGGTCAAGATGGAAAGAACTGCCATAATATTTATAAAAAATGCTCCAGTTTTGAAGACACCGACCAACCGGCTATGCTTACCACATTCAATGACATCAATAAATTAGTACAAGCCAGAAAAATGCAGTAAACCGTGAATCAAAATTCAATCAATCAATCCTCGTGTGTGTGTGAACATGTGCTCATCAAGTGTAACTGAAAAATGTCAATGCAAGCAAAAAAAGAAAAAGCAAAAAAAAAAAAAAAAGATTCTACGAAAAAGAATCCAGTGAAACTAATGAGAATGCACTTAACTCTCTATGTTGAATGATAGTGTGTTGTGAGAAGAGAAGACAAACAAACAAACAGAATACAGCTAATTTTTTGCCCAGACCCAGTGACATATAAAAAAGAACGTTGGACAAAAGAAAGAATGAATATTGTGAATTTCGGGGTCAATTCAACAAATAACAACAATTGTTGCATGAGATTGAATCGCAGAAAAAAGCAGAAAAAAAAGAAAGACAGAACGCAAAAACGCTTGATGAAATGCATATATTGCCGTATTTAAATGGGCTCGATTGACAATGAGTTTGAACAAATGAATATCGGTTTTGTGTAAATAGTTTACTAGTTTGTTTAATAGATGCACAGACAATTCCAAAGTATAATCTCTAGATTAAACAAAATTTCATTCGATTCCACACATTTTACACACATTTCACCATCTTACAAATAAATAATAATATTTCGTCGAAGAAGGTCAATATTTACTTAGATGAAATCATATGATCAATTTATGAATAAATTAGTGACATTGCTAGTGTGTAGATTGTGTGAAAATGGAAACAAAGAATGAAACCAATATTAGAATACATACATAACAAATCAATTTGGACGTAATTTTCATGAATTTTTATGAAATTTGCTCGAAATGAAGAAAAAAAAACGAGAGAAAAATTCGACAAAATAGCCATCATTTAATTTATTGAAATTCAAAAATGTTCCGACTAAAATTCTATTTATTTATTTATTTATTCGGTAAAATATAAGCTATTTATTGCCTTTCAATTTAGAAATGTATTTATGAATTAGGTAGCATGCAAACGATTAAATTCAATAAAGAACGTGTATTATGTAATGTAGAATAAAATGAACAGCGTGTTTTCATTAAAGGTGGCATTTTATTTATAGAATGGGCCTTAAGTCATCAATCACTTTATATTTGCAGCAAAATTATGCATGCGACGTCAAACCCAAATCAAGGTGGTTACAATAGTGGTAATAGTCGGTGAAATCCGTATGACTCAATAATTGTTGCAACTCTGGCAATGTGTTAGGTTTTCACAACACTCACCGAGCAAAAAAAGGCTCCCGTGCACACACATGCATAATTTATGCACACAATGAAATTGAAAATTAATTAATTAAATATGAGAAAAAACGGTGTGCAAAACAAAAGATACAAAAAAATTGTACTTGCTCCATGGCATGCTTAGAATATATGGGTATTTGACGAACATGTGAGTGAACTCGCTGCGTAGAGTCGCTCTATTGTATTAATGATTTGAAAGTAAGGTACCGTAACGCGCACACAACGACGAGCTAAAATTCCGAGTTAGTTTGTTGATGCCGTGCGATACTCTTGCCACCGCATGCGGTTTTATGATTGATTACATCAATTAACATTTCGATGTTTTTTTTATCTGCTGTATTCTTTGGTGATGATAGGGCGTGATGCAAGACGTTTTTTTTTTGCTTTGTTTGCCAATTGCAAGTTTAAATCAAGCAACGTTGATGAATCGGATCTAGTTTAAAATTTGATGTCAGATAATTTGAAAATAGCAATCATTTATTCGGAAAATTCATTCGTTTCATGCGGTTCAATGTTCAATGAGAGGGAGAGAGAGAGAGGTAATGTTCTGTTTTTATTAAACGACTATTCGCCCGATGAATACACTATAAACTTGATGCCAATTTAACGATCCCGTTCATAGCAAAACTGGGACTGACTCCCGGACATACACACATATATATGTGGAACAAGAGGGCAAAAATCGAATCAATTTTCGTTTTCATTGACAGCACATTGGCTCAGCTGATGAGATGAATTCGAATCAGCCCGCAGCAGCATCAACGTTTGCAATAAACCAAATGAAACTCATGCAGAAAATTACTTTTCGAATAGAAAACATCAGTTGGATAAAATGCGTTTAATACAAAAGATAGAAATTTTTTTTTACAACATCAATTCAGTCAACCAATGAACGATGAAGGAGAAATTTTTGTTGTTGTTATTGTTAAAGAAACAAATCTTCGTTCAAAAACTATGCATGCAACTTTGAAAATTGTGATGAAAAATTGCCGCGAATTTTGGTTTTCATTTTTAAAAGTTAAATGAGAACCGCAAAAGGAAAAGTGCGGTCATAAATTATGAAGTAAAAAATGCGGAACCAGGACGGATTTTGAGTGAAAATAATTTGACGTAATGAATCAAAGCGAAAATGGCGGAGCGAAAATAATACTTTGGCCGTTTTCGATGAAGAACAAAAGCATAGCGTTCATTCTATTTGTTGATGTCATTTTGCGCTTTGTTAGCTTTTGCTGTTTATATTTTCGTGTTTTCGCCTCTAAAATGCTGCATGCTCCATGTTTACGATTTCATTTTCCCATTTCTTTATTGCAATGTTGTTGTCGTTTTTTTTTTCTTCAGCTCGTCATTGTTGTGCGCTCGCATCACCATGCTGCCTTTTTTCCGTTCATTCCATTTATCTAGTCACATTTTATGATGTTCATTAAATAATATTAGATATTAGCGACCATTTTATTAGCAGCATGATCCAAGGGAGCAACAAATAAAAAACCCACCAAGAACGCGATGGAAACAAACAAAGAACTTTGTCGCAATGGCTATAAAAGCAGCTGATGAATAGGCGGAAGAAATGAAAATAGAAGAAGAAGAAGTTTGAAAGAAGAAAAAAAACACGAATTGCAACTTGTTTCTGGTGCGTTCATGGTCGGCATTTCCATTGCTTTATATATGAATAATTCTATAAAAACAAAGCTAATCCCATACATTGTGCTGAGAGAGCAGAATGAATGTCGAAAGATGTGCTGTTTTGCGAGGGGGTGAACACGGAGGTATTTTTTTGTTGCTGTTGTTGTCGAAAGATCGTGTAGAAAAGTGGCGTGTGCGTGTGTCATTGTTGTTTTTCTTTATTTGCTTCTTTTGTGCAAACATAAACTATTTTCAAATAAGAGTGTAGGAGAAATTCAATGTAATAAATGATGAAATAAATGGGAAAACAACAACCAAAACCGAATGTAAAGAAAATGGGACCGAATGCTGTGATTTTGATTAAGTTTTCACCGCATCACAATCATTCAATGCTGCACGCACCCAATGCCAAACGTGTCAAATGTGGGCCGAAATCGATGAGAGTGAGACACCAAACACACACTCTGCACAATCACAAAACAAATAAAAATGTCGTGCACTGAAATGAATGCAGTAAATATGTGCAGGGGCACATATCGAAAACAAAAACTTGTTTTTCACATTCAATCGCATCGTGCATGCGAAAGAACTCAGATACATTCAGCATACATTTGAATTTTGTTTGTTATTTTAAATCACGGCAATTTCACACAGCCACATTACAAACTACCGCTTACAGTTTCGTCACCCTTGACAATGTGCACATTATTATTGCTTTGGCACCATGCACGACGCGGTAAAAAAAAAGTGCGTCGTCGGTAATAGCGTAGAACGATTACAGTCGCGAAGCCTATTGTGCGCCCATTTTCTTCTTCTCGCTCTCTCCCTCTCACATCCAATGTCTTCTGTTTGCTTTTGGGGTGAATAATAAATAGGATGCGATTAATGTGATATTATGAATAAATTTGGTGTGAATGTTAGTTTAGTTTTGGTTGTTCTTTTAACCATTCCATTATCTTTTAGTTGGTTGTTGGTGAAGACACTTTTAACCACTGCAGATATTTGCCGTATTGTTTTTCTTTTTGAATGTGTATTATTTATGCAGACATGATCATGTGCCGGCAATTTTACTTAGTATTTTTTGCGGTGGATTCGATGAATGGGCCAACAACATAAAACAAATATTTTCTTACACACTTTCAATGAGTGGAAAAACAATCACAATCGGATTTCATAATTTAGTGGCGCAATGCATATGTTTATACAATGGTGACGATGACGATGTCGGATGCACATGCAATTTGAGGTGACCAAATACGGAAATCCTATTATTTAAACCGTGATTTGATTAGCATACACTTTCCTATGCACTCTTCGATAGTCCTTCCGCTCACCCTTTAACCTTATTTTCTTCGTTAAATTGAAACAACATTTGATGTGGATTTTTTTTTATTCTCATTTTATTATTAATTTATATTGAATCTTTAATTTGGTATTTAATTTAGTATCATTACATTGTTAAATATTTGTAAGATTTGGTTTTTTTTGTGTCTGTGTATGTGGATTTTGTAATGATTCGTTACAATACTAATAATGGATCTTCCTTTCTTGTACTATCTACAAATGTTTGTGTATTTTTTTCGTTCAAGAAAGAAAGTTTACCATATTATTTATAGGAAATACAATTTGTGTAAGTAATTTAAAGAAGAAACTCTGTAGCATTGATTATTTCTAGTTGATTTTTCTATTGAATGGTTCTTCACATATTTCTAATATGTCTATTTTTTCAGCCATTAAATGGTGAAGAGAAGAAAATTTGTGTCAATCGATACAACAAATCGGTAAATTGTTTGAACTTTGTGAATAACCATTTTCATTTCATTCGATCAACATTTATAGAAATGTAAATCGTAAATCGTTTGTCACCGCAATTCAAATGCTCAATAAAAATATCAACTTAATTTCAATGGTTTTCTTTTCCGCTCTGTTTGAACTGGTCAAATAAAATAGTATGTGTGTGTATGTGTGAGAGAGTCGCGATGTGGCCGGTCATTGTAATATATTCAAAAAAAAATCCATCGTTTGCTTTCTAGAAACATGCCACTCCCGCTACTTAAATACTACACATTTATATCTCTATATATTCAGTTTGATATTATTTACACATCGACATTCCGCGATATCAAAACCGACGATTTCTATCATTTCTTTACTTATCTCTCTTTTTATAAGCCATAGTAAAAACTTAGTCAGATCAAATGCAATGTACGCCAAAAAACCAAAAAAAAAAAAATGTCGATTATATTATCTGCTTATGCTAATGCGGAAGATTTCGCATTCTAGTTTTTTTGTTGTTGTTTTCTATTTATCAAATTATACAAATGTTACCTTGTTTTCTTTTTATTCATCAAACAGATTTTCTTTCTTCAAAATGACGTAGAACATTCACACATTGGTTATAGATTACGATTAAGTATTGTCTTTTTTTCCTAGATTTACATCCATAAAATTTGTAAGTTTGCTTAAATGATTAATCCATTGAGAACTTCGGATTTTTTTTTTTACTTTTTGTTCAGTTTAGTTTTGGTTTGTGTGATATTTACCGAATGAAAATCTTAAATATTTCTTGCTTAAAAACTGATTAGTCATTCTTAAATTTTTTTTTGTAGTGAATTTTTGACAATATAGCATTAATTTAATTTAAATGGTAAGTACCGGTAACGTCTGCACTTTTTTTTTTGCTTAAATTTGTAAATGGATGAAAATGCCATTTTTTGTTGCCACTTTATTCCCGGTTCATAAATACTAAGTGTTTGGTGATAATGGTGGCGATGATGACCCCTTATTTTACAGCTAATCATACATGCATTTTTTTATTTAATGGTATTTCACTTAGTGGCCTATTATCTAATAATAAAATTGGCGTTTAATATGCCATGACCAATAAAATCTAATAGCCATTCATTGTTGTGATCAATTTTGATCAAAAATCTTACACTCTCTATAGCCTTACAATGTACCATATTTAACGCTAAATTGAAGGTATTCAAATGGCTTTTCATGTGGATTTTCCTCTTCTTTATTCATTCTATTCTCGCAATCAGTGTGTGTGTAATGTTATAATAATTTTTTTTAAATTATGTATTTTGTGGCCAGTGTTTGTGTACAAAAGAATCTATTCTCGCCGATTAATATTTCTTTTAAAAAAAATTCTTAAATAAAATCAATGGCATTGAAATAAGAAATAAGACTAGATCTAGATCAACCCATTTCGTTTTACATCAAATAATTAAATCGTGCTACAATCAGGGCATTTCAGCATCAAAAACAAAATCTTAATTAAATTGCACAACAATGCATTTTACAACTTTATTTTGAGTGAGTTTCAGATTTATAATTGTTAAACTCTAACTTAAACGCAAAACATCTGTATATATATAAATGTGTGTGTTTTCTCATTTTTTCTTCGTTTCTCTGTTTTGTTTTTACTTTCAATTCGAACAAGCCAAACGAAGGAATAGTTGTGTGCAAACAAACCTAATAACTGTTCAGAAGCTTTTATGGAAACCTTTCAAATGCCATTTTTCTTCTCAAAAGAAATAGCATTCAACTTTAAAGTCACGAACACGAAAGTCACGCACCGTGTACATATTGAATTGAACAACAATGGATGAATGAATTTAATACTCTATTGCTTACGAATTGGATTGATTGTGTGTTGTGTGTGTGTGTGTGTGTATTTTAAATGTTATTTTTTATTTAGTTTGGAATATTGTCAGCATTAGCAGCATCCTCGTCGTCAGTTTCCTTGGATATTGCCAATGTCATGGGACCATCGTCTGATTCTTGTTTGAATTTCATGTTATTGTTGATGTAATACAATGAATGATTCGAAAATATGTTTGATATGGTCCCAAAACCGTTATCTCACACATCAGTAATGCCAGCATATTGGCATGCCGATAAACCGGCCGAATTGGACCTCGATACCGGCGATGGTGCTGAATATGGACTGGCAAAACCAGATGAATGTTGTTTTGCTTTCAATCGCAGTGTGGCTATGCTAGATGACATCGCTGTACATGGTTCAGTCGGTGTACGATGATACATCGAATATGGATTTGCTGCACCGGTGTACGGGCATGATGTGCCCGGTGTTGGTGTTGCTGTTAATGGTGCACTCATTCCAGTTGCGGCCAACATACCGCTCGAATTCATATTGACCGTTGACGATGATGAATTAAAACAATTTACGGAATTTTGATGATGATTCGGTGTTACAACCGAACCCAATGGATTTACCGGCCATGGAAATGTTTTTGCACCCAATGGTGATGGGACCTTTGTTGCCCAATTATTGTACGGCGAATATGATGAATACAATGCATCTGTATCGGTAAATGGTTGCATAAATTGCGTTCCGAAACCATTTTTGAAATCGGCCGCAGCAACAGCAGCCGCATTCATTGCATTACGTTCACGCTTACGCCATTTTGCACGACGATTTTTAAACCAAACCTACAGAAGAAAGAGACGAAAAAAGATACTTTATTGCATGTTTACTTATTCATCAAAATCAAGATTTAAATTAACTATATTTTATATATGTGTATTTTGCATTGAGCGACGAGCGCAGAAAGAGAATGTAGTGACACGACACGACAACATAGGTAGTGGCATTGCAAAATTAGTCTTTGTTATCGGCTGGCAAAACAGAATAATAAATTCTAATTTAGATCTAGCCATATTTTGCAATGCAGATACGATTTTTCTCACTCTCTCTCTCTCTCTCCTTTTCCCGTCGTCTTCATCTTTCTCGTATCGTTGCCATTTTGGCATGACTTTCGTCGGGCTGCAATAGTGTTTGCAAACTACTGCTTGTGCTACGGTTGCCTACATTATAAACGGTTAAATTTAGTCATAAATTCATATTCTTCAGCACGTTTTTCGTGCTAGCATATTGTTGAATATTTAAGCAGGGATGCGCTTCAATATTTTATCAAAACACTTGGATCGTTCATCTTCGGTCTGAGTAAAAGAGCATGAAAGAGAGGAAATGACATGAAAAGTAAAAAAGAGAGACAGAACCATGGGGAGCGAGGGAGAGTGGTGTTCGTGCACAATTTTGTAATATTTATATAAATGTCAGTACGGGTTAAATAAATATTATGTAATGAAGGCTGGCAAATGGGTCTACGAATGGATTGAACACACACAATTGTGTGTTTGCCAACAATTTAACCCCCCTTTTGTCCCTCGTTTTGTTGTTTCGGTGCCATCGTCGTCGCCGCCGTCGTTGCCATCGTCGTGGTATGGTTTGATGTATATAAATTGGCTCCGCATTTTGTCAAAAACCAGAAAATGATGATCAACATGCACAACAGCAAATATATCCAAAGTGACACGAAACGAAAGCAAAATATTTTACAACAACCCGTACATACCAAGCAAAAGATCCCAACTCATCTATTTTGAGTGTGAGTATCACTGTGTGTGTATGTTTGTGTATTGTGACTGTATGATAATGCGTGCCGGCAACAATGATAATATGACATTTTCGTATTGGGTAAATAAACGAGACATAATGGTGGATTTTACATAATAGTTTTGCTTTGCAATGGAAGAATATGCTTCTATTTACTACAACACATTGTTTCGACCGAAGATGAAATGTGCGTAGGATTGCTTCGCATTATCGTTCGGCTCTTCCCAAATAAGAAGCAGAAAAAAAGCAAAGACACAAAACAGCAAAACAAATGAAGATGGAACAATCGACGTGCAAAGATATCAACCAATTCATTTTATCTCTGTTCGTCCAAAAAATACGCACCAACAGCTCCATTCTCAAAAACAACATAATAAATACGTTGTCGAAGCTTCCATTCGAATTTTCTTTTCTTTTTTTTTTCCTTTCGACATTTTTCATACACTTCTCTCACTCGGTCGCTTTTCCATTCCTCTCGATTTCCTACTTGTATTTCCCTCCTCCGAAAATTTATTTTCCTGCCATATTCGGCACCGAACATTTCTCTAAGCATGTATAGCAAATGTCGTTTATCTTCATTTTCCCCCACACAATTATACACATGGATGCGCACATAAACGAAAACATTATTATACGTTTAGTATTTAGTGGTTGATTGAATTGATAGAGGATGCCGTTTTGGTTGGCATTCGCAGCTACTGCTGATGCTGATACAGTCGACGAAAAATGTGAGAAAGAGAACAGCCAGTCGTGAGCTGAGACGACTGTGCACATTGAATTGTGCGCATCGTATACACGCTCAATTTTTTTAACAATGGCGGGTGCGTCGGCATACTGGATATATTTTAATATATATATTATTCGTTTTTCGGTGTTTCGACACACGCGTATCTTCCCTTTCGCCTGTGTGTTTTTTCTTTCCTTTCAGCCTGTAAATGTGCACTTCAAATAATAAACAGTGTGCGACGTTAAACTCACTCTCTTTCTGTGTTCATGTGCAAATGATACACGACCGTTAGATCTCTCTTCGTCTTTTTTGCTTCTTATTTTTTTTTTGCTGGAGTAATCGATGGAAAGAAAATGTCGAAATAAATTACTTTTACCATCTATCTGTTCGAGACGCACATGCACGCTCACGCATTCGCTAAAATGGATAGGCAACCACGACAACGGCTAAAATACATTCAATAATAAGAAATAATGCCAATGTCAGTCAATGTTCATTGAAGCTAAGACCACCCTCTCGACATTCCCTTCACGATTCGAAGATGCACACAAACAGATAGCGTCTGTCGTTTTATTTGAAGAATGGCGAAAAAAAAAATGGGGAATTGCTACTGTTTGCGTTCATCTTAAATGTCGCGCCTCATGAAATAAGGTGCTCGGTGTATACAGATCGTGAAAACGAGAAAAATGCAATGCATCAATGATTTTAAATTAAAAAAAAGAAATTGTTCGAATGTTTGTGATGACATCGTTGGAAAATTTTCCGCGCTTTGAGTTGAGAGAAAAAAACAAACTGCCGTCCATAAAACAATAAAATAATTGTTTTAGATAGCAAGTCATACATCAAAATATGTGTATGATGACGATTAATTTTCGGCGACTTTTTACTTCATTTTGAACAATACAAAACAGGAGTCATTAATGATGATATAATTCAATTATCTCGGAAAATTATTTAATATTCAATTTTATTTGAACACCATATTTATCGCTATCTTTTGAAGTCATTAAAAGATTTACATGTTTCGAATTATGCGATTGCACAATAAATATGGCATTAGTTTCAAATGTACCGTCTATGTCGTAAAATACGAACGTCCAATTTGCAAGCAGCTTGTGTATGTGTATGGTGTCATAACAATTTATTGAAACATTCAATAAAATATGTTTTCCATTTGTCCACTTCTAATAATAATATTCGAAATCTCTCTGTTAAAGTCATTTCAACTACTCAATTTTGTTGCGTTCACCCAGCCAACTTTGGTTTGGAATATATATTTATAAACTATCGCATCGAAAGAGATTTTGTCCCCGTCACTTGTCGCTGCTGCTGTTGATGCCGAGCTGTTTGGTTGCGATCCGATAAAATGAAAATGTCCTACTGTTCTTTTACAGTCGACTGATTTTATAATGACGAAGATTAGCTCTCATAAAGCAGATTAACTTTCTGCAAAAAGGGGTTGTTTGACGTTTCTCGTCAAGCCAACGAAGAAAATTAAACTTTCTTTCTCTATCGCACAGTTTTGCTGTAACTTCATGAGATTAACGGCCGAAATAGGGCGAAAGAACGAAAACAGAGACGAGATAGAGCGCACATTCGTTCGCGATATCTTATTAACGAATATTCTGCACCAAAATCTCCTATTTCCACTATGTTTGTGTGTGTGTGCGTAATTTGTTTTACCAACTCATTTCGAGTCTGGCATCGTTGCCACCCATTCGATGGCGTGTACGAACCAGAATGACGGACGGTTTCCATATATCCATTTATAAATGAATAATTTTCGGGGTGCAAAAAAATAATTATGTGGTATTACGCAGTGGTGGCGCGCTCACGCACACATACACATCAAAAACTTCCATGTAATTACATCGTGTAGATAGACTGCGATGCGTATAGATTTTTTTTTCATCTATTTTTCCTTCTTATTTTATCTCAATGTAGCCCCAACTAATACTTCAATTTATCGTTTAAATGATTGCATTTATTACCGATGTTGTTCTTTAAATGCCATTTAATGGGTTCGTTTCAATGCAATAGTTCATGATTGTCGGTGCGTTGAGAGCTCATGCAGAGTGAAATCGAGAATTTTATGTTCACTACATGGAATGACACGATTAACTCAATCAAATGGAAATTGACGCGTTTTTATTTTTATTGCTCATATAAATTTGTCATATGTTAATTGAAAGTGCTGTGCGGCAGTTGAAATGTCGACACATGTGAATTTCGTACGTTTTCGAGCGGTTTTTCTCAATTGTTCGCAATTTTGTTTGGCGATTAGAAATGAAAACACTTATCAATCAAGATTATCGATGCGTAATAAATGCACACAAACGATATAAATTACAACATTTTCGATAAATTATTGCACAACAACGATCTAGACAACGATGACTTGAATTCAATCGATTTTCGTTGGACACAAAATGAGGGAGACAATCACATGCTAAAAACAAATTAACTTTTGAAAAATTTAAGGGAACATTTTCGTTTTGAGATTGAATTATCTGTTTCGAGGTATGTTACGAGAAAAAAATATCTGTTTTCACATTCATTTGGAATTTACGATAGTGTCCAGACGAGTTGACTATCATGATTTCATCGTCATGAGTTGGCAGCAGCAAGGGATGATTTTTATTTGCTTGCTTCTACCGACTAGTGTTCCATGTGTCTTTTTTTTTCGTTGCCAGTCGACGAAATAAATTTTCACTGCTTTCGATATGCTGATTTCGATACACGAGCGCATGCATTGTTTCGGATTAACTTTGTAATCCGGGCATTTACATCAATTTCAATAATAATCATAATATTCTCGAAACAAACCCGTTCAAAAACAAATCTACACACACCGTACCGATTTATTCACTCACAAAAACGCAACACCTCCGAAAAATACATACATATAGATTTTGAGGGGGTATGAATTTCACAATCACAGCGTCAATATTGCAAAATAGCTGTGCATCCCAAACCAAACCCCAATGGCACTCTTATAAATGCATTGGTAAATTTCTGTAAATTATGTTCACCATAAATTGCATTTTATAAACCAATATTCCATTTTGTTGCATTCCAATTTACACGCTCTTTCAGCCATAAACTCGCAAACAATCCAAAAACATGGAATGCTGAATGATTTCAAATAATTTCGGTAAATAATCGAAAGCCCAGGGATGCATTGCTTCTATCCACTGCAATTTGCCGAAGCAGGACAAAGACCAGTATACCCATTCGCTATTTGCTTTTATCATGCATTCACTTTTCATTGTTTTGTGGTCGCTTCATATTAGAAGCACGATCAACGTGCACCAATATCATTATACGCACGTGTTGGTTGTTTAACCGAGAAAGAGAGAGAGGAGAAAAAAAAGACGGGCATTTTGGCCAAATGAAAAAGTAAAAATTAAACTAAAATCTCTGCGTATCTCTCGAGTATAGAAATGAAATAGTGAACATATTTTTCGTATGTTACGTGCCTGTAAACCCCAAATCGCGCAAAAATTTCATTTGAATTTAAATTAGATTTCGACACGAATTAGCACGTGCAAAACTAATATTTATGTCACGCCAATAATTTTATTCAAATAAAACAGCACTGGCGCTGCTCGTTCGGGGTTGTGAATAACGATTTCATTTCCAATGCAACCAAATTACACATATACACAGTCACCAAAGGGGGCTTTGGTAGCGCGTGTTCGACATTTATTGGTAATTTTCTGCTCAAATGACATTAAATGTATCGCGCGCGCGCCTCCATAATGAGCCGGAACTAAAATACTGCACAAGTTTAACAACATTTTCGAATTTTCGAATAGTTTTTTTTTATTCGCTTGATATTTGAGTTGCATGCCATTTTCTGGCTTTAAAGTGATATTTAACGACTGATATCTACACAGTTTGGTCGAAATTCCCATAGAATTGGCCGATTAAGCCATTAATAATTGGCGTAAAAATCAATTATACATGGCCGTGGCTAAACATCCGTTGATCTCAATGAAACGCTCATTTATTTATCGTTTGAAAAAAAAATTATGAGCTGGGAAAAAATTCAAATGATGTCTTCATTACCGAGTTTGATGACGAAATAAAAAAAAAAAACAAACTTTTTTCCCAGAACGAATAAAAAAATAACGTACCGAATCCATTGATTGGATCGATGGCTAGTAACCAAAAGCAAATACAGTTATTACAGGATTAGATGTTTGAATGCAGGACTAAACATGAAGTGCAATTGATTAACCTTCATCTCTAAATCCGAATCGAAATCGATTTATTTGTTAAAGTATTTAATGCATAGTCAACCTAGATTCTCGCTCATTGGCAGACGAAATGAGTGCAGAAAAATCAATTTTTGTTTATGTTGTTGTTGTCTTAAATTTAAATTGCCGGAGTATTAAAGTATTTTGGAGATTCATTTCCTATAGGTTAAGTCAACTTAATACCCGGGCTCTGCCATTGAGCGTTTGTGAATCAATGTCGTCATTATTGTCGTTGTCGTCATGATGGTGGCGTGAAAATAAGAGAAAAAAAAGCAAACACTCTTTCAACACGTGAAAAATCAAAAAGGCAAATGAATGCCAAATCTGGATATCCAGGCTCTCTCTCGTTTTGGCACAAAAAAAAAACGAATGATGACGAAAACTGCGCAAAAAAATCGTGTTTCTTTAGTATTTTTTTTTGGATTTGCCGTCGGTCGGTCGTGTGAGACAAAGAGAACATTTCTATGTAATGCTGTTGAGCTGCCGTGGCTGGAACCAACAGGCGACGGGAACGACACAATATCGAATGCGCAACAGAGTAACTGCCTAACAAAATATCCAAGCAAAGCCATTCGGATTAAAGTACTTATACTATGTTTTACTCACTCTGACTCTGGCCTCTGTCAAATTGGTCCATAGAGCTATCTCTTCACGTGTTGACATATCCGGATATCGATTTCGGCTAAACGTATGCTCCAATTCTTGTAATTGCTGCGATGTAAAGTGTGTTCGCTGGCGACGTTGTCGTTTATTCTTTTTATCATTTTTCGTTTCGTCACTAGCCACAATTTGTTCATCGTGTATCACTAAATTGGTGTTTTCCACTTTCACATTTGGCTCATTCATTGATCGATTACCTTTACGAAACAAGCAACATTGACAAAGAAGAAAAAAAACATTTTAAACATTTTTGTTTGGTCAGATTTATCAATCGGTGTAAGAATATTTCAAATAAAGAAAAAACCGAGCAAATACTTACCGTCGGGTTTTCGATCTCGATTGTTTTTGTTGTTTCGCAAATTTGTCGGTGGTTGAAAATGTAGTTGACTGATATCAAGACTGTTTGCAACATTGGTCATTGAACTATGGCTATTATCACGGAAATCACCAGTTTCGGCCCACACTGCAAAAGATAAACAAAATTTCGGTTGAAAACTTAATAAAAATGATGTGGTATTTCTATTTTGGGTGGAATTTTTGGAATTTATAATCTTTCAAGTTCAATCCATTTCACGGTTAATTTCCTTCTAACTAATGAACGATAACCAAAGCATTAATGTCATTCAATTGCATTTGATTTGTGATTGCATGAAATTCTTGTGATTCTTTGGTTTCATAAACGGCTAATTATTCGAATGGTAATGAGTCGTTTGCTTATGCCGAGAATTTAACCAATGTGTTGACATACGTCTTTATTGGCAATTTACGAAAAACAGATTTGTTGCTTTTTCAATGTGTGACAGGTGTTGTTCTTCTCCAGAATGTTTGTTCATTTTATGCATTTCGTTTCGAATGCATTTTTTTTCTTCTGAGACATTTATTTGCCGTTTCATTTGAAATAATACGTATGTGCTGCGCATTCAAATGCTATTTACCCATATAGATGATAGCAACTAACGACCCTGTCAACTTTGGAAAATTTATTGCATTTTTATTTCTCTATTTTGTCGCTGTTCTCATGTACAGCACATGAGACGCGTTGACACTTTTTTTCTCTTGTTCGCTTCTGATGCGCCGATGTTTAAAAAAATGAAATACCGCACATTAGGCTAAAGCGTGTGCACATGTTTTACATCTCATATCGTCCCTTTTTCACTCTCCCATGCACACACACACACAGTTGGAACTGTTTGTAAAATTTCTTCCTCCGATTACAACTCCCTGAGAATAATGATCTCTCTCTTTTTTCACTCTTAATTTTACATATTCCTTGTATCACTGGAAAGTAATGCCATTTCAAATGTTAATTTTATGACAATACTGAAAAATATAATAATAAATATGATGGTAGGAAATTTTCTGCGTGGCCTACATATGTCATCGATGTGTAAAATAAATTAAATCATTTAAAATGTTCGAGCTAATTAACATGATTGTCTCAGTTGCATATTTTTCACTTTACTAAGCCAAATTACACCCGGGAAATCCATGAAATGTTCAATGAAATTTGTGTGTTTTCGCTCTTCCTTCATTCTCTTTCTCTCTTTCTCTCGCTCTTCCTTCAGAAAAAAGAAGTCATAAAACATTTTGAAGCGAAATGATGTGCGATCGAGAGCCAAAAATCACAAGACATATAATGCATACGATATTGTTCGGCGTTAGAATTTATTGCAAACAAAACTTGGAATGTTTCGACACATAAATTATACGAAATGTGAATGGTTTTGTTGGCCTACGCGAATGGTGCGCACGAAAGCCGTGTATCGTATTGATGCCGTCGGTTAAAAAAAATTCAGCGTTTGTCACGTTTCGGGCTATTTTTGATGACAATTAATTTCGGAAAAAAAAATCGGCAAATAGAACTAATTTATACGCATTGTGGCGTAAATAAAAATGACAACAAAATGAAAACAAAACACAAGCGATAAGAGCAAACGAACTCTATCGATATATTATTCGTGTACAATGGCTGCGACAAGCGTAGTTTGCCTTTATTTGCTGCCCGAACACATTTATTTTTAAATCTTAAAAGTTCAAAGGACGCAAAGCAATAGAAATTCAGTTTATTTCCGAAATGTCTTCAAATTCTTTTGTTTATTTATCACCCGCCATGGTATTTCACGAGTGGTTTAGAGATAAAATCAAAAACAAAATTTCCGTTGGCCAATTTAACGACTTTGCAGTGAGTAAATTTTTTTTTTGCGTTCGAAAACATAAAATCATTTATCAAAATTATTTTATTGTTGATTTCAATATTCATTTCTTTTTCCAAATGTCGCAGTGATTAAAATTTTAATCTCATTTATGTAAACAAATTCGAGATAGAGACGTTTAAATTCATACTAATTTTCTCGCAGTTCATATTTGTATTTGGATTTTTTTTGTGGGAAAATATAATATATTTTCTCGTTAAAGATGTGTTTTCACCAACGTAAATACTAACGCTGGTTATTTTGGATTTGTTTAATCAAAATAAAGTAAATTTATGGTATTATGAGTTTTCCCAAGAGTACACGTCGGCACAAAGAGACACTCTCATTTATTTTTTCGCCAATTTCAATTTTAAACTTGAGTTGATCATAAAACGGTGATTACTGGCAAACCACACCGAAAATAAAAACAATTATATTCAGAGATAGAACATTTACGATACTATTGGGACCGCCGGCAGAAAAAAAAACGGATCATAAAAATATGTAACACACGGAAAAAATGGTGCAAAAAGGTTAAAGATAAAATAGCAACTTGTTTGCTAATAATACGGTCCATTTCACATGGCTAGCGCGTTGATAACAACCATCAATATGAGGAAAAAGGACGAGACACACAACTGAATCGGAAACATATTTACCGCAATAGTAAATAAAAGAAAAGAACAAATGCGCAGAAACAATGACAAGAAAAAAATCGAGAGAGAGAGAGAGAGAGAGAGAGATAAGAGTGACATGAGTGTAATAAAAGGAAAAAATGATTTTCAGCCATAGCGCCAAAAAATATTTATTGAGTTGAGATGCCGTGCCGAATGTGTGCAATAAAATCGAAAAAGGGTTCGATATTGTAGTACAGACAATTCGATCTGTGTGTATTTTTTGTTGCAATTGTTGTTTGTTGTCTTGCAATTGCTTGTGTGTGTACAAAACGCGCAAATAAAAATCACAACCAAATATAAAATACACAAACTAATGGAAATAATAATAACGATAAAAATAACAAATTTTGTTGTTTTTGTTGCGCATTCGAATCAACATGCGTACGGTGAACACAAACAACCCAACCGACGACAACACAATGAACGGCAACGGCAATATAAGAGAGATGACAAATAAGGGCGAACCAATAGTAAAAACAATAAACTCGTGCAATGTGATGTGAAATTGTCCCTGGCTCTAACCGGATAATTTATAGCGATCGGGCTAGATAGAGTAGAATAGAAAAAAAAATACAGAGAACCAAAGGTATATGATACGAAAACTCTCACATACACTGAATGAACGAAAGCGAAAAGAAAAATAACAAAAGAAAAATTGTTCATAAATAAAAATCACCAAGTAAAAACCACAAAACAAATATTTTGCACGCAAACTCAAACATAATAAATGAATGTAATGAATAGCATCATTGTCATTATGATTATATTTTGATTTTCATTTCGATTTTTATGTGTGTTTTTAGATATTACGGTCTTTGATGACAATTGTGTGTGCGTGTGTGCAAAAGTCAAATATTTTGGGCCATATGGCTTCTATTTGCCATCAATAACCGCAAAAATATGCTGCGCATCGAATGACAAAGGACATTTCTTGTCGAACGGAACATGATGCTTATGATGACGTTGACAATTTTCGATTTCACGATGCCAACGCATTTCTACAACACTTTCGGACATTCACTTTAGCATAGGTTATGACTATTTCCATAAATTATGCGATAGCCATTCAGGGATTAAGTATGTTTCTCCTTCGTTTTCGAGACATACATTGACCGAAATGTGTTTATTATACGGAATTTGCCTATTTTCCGGATCACACAAACCAGACAAACATTTCTCTCTCTCTCTCTCAATTTCGCTCTCTGTTTATAGTTGGCTGATTTTCATTCACAAATGTCTTGATGGTGACCGAGAGATTTTGCAGATTCCATAAAATAAGCCACTTGGCCTATGCATTTTACATAAATGGAATCACAATAAAGAATACGACAGACATGATCATTATAACACATAAACGATGCACAGAATGGGTCCATAAACACACGAACGAGAAAGAAAGAGAGAGAGAAAACGATGGACATTAAGAAAAGCGACTATGTAAAATGACAACAAGGAACTGTTCATGTCGAGCAAAGTGAAAAAGAAACCGAAAACAATCTCTCCATTTGGCCAGAAAATTGGTCCCATATGGCTTATTATACATTAATATATCATCTGTGTCACCATCAAATAAATACATTCAACGATCCGTATTCCTTTGCAATGTTAGCATCTACACCGTTTTCTAAATGCAATCTATTCTCCTTCATTCATCTCATTTTTTTTTGTTCACCGTAAAATTCTGCAGCAAACGAACGAATTCGGTATGGTTGTGCCGGTGCGGCAGTGATCAATGCATTGTACAAAACCAAAAGCAAACAAATCACTACCACAGTTTTTCTACTCATCTGCCGAACCCCAAAATGCTTTACTGGTTGTTGTTTACGCGTCCATAATGCTAATGTGTATTTTATTTTTACATCAAATACAAATGATATTAATATTACCGCTATCATTATTGATGCTGGTATTTGCATTGTTTAGTGAAGGGTAAGTTTTGCTTTACCCAAACTACTGTAAATGAACTATGTACGCTCCTTTGAACCAAATGTACGCGATGCATTCAGAAAAGACACTTTCGATTGTCCGCAAAACAAGCAAATTTCAGCCCCTAATCAGATGCACCCGATCGGTCCATATGGTTTGTTTTTGTATTCTACCAATTGCACATCCAAAATGATGCGATTTATATGCAGAAGCATTTAGTATCGCTGATGCTACCAATATTGGAATCACACTTTACATTTTACGCTAATTTATTTTGCCTTTTTATTTTACACCATATTTAATTCGATTGAACATTTGTTTCAAATGATCGCCGTCAAAGAAGATATAATGAATCACTTTTTTTTAAACCTTTGACAAATATGCTCGGAATTCAAATGTTTACTTATTCTTATCGCGTTTGAGATAAAAAAAAATGTTTGTTGAGAAGAAAAAACGAGACACTATTATTAGTTGCCATTGGCATTGTGAGTCCGATTTAATCATTTGACGACAATCTCTCCGCAGATTATTTAATTGAAGTATAAGGATTAGAATTGAAGAGTAAGGATTAAAATACTAAAAAATACTAGGAAAAATTGCATAAAAAGTTGAAAACAAAAAGTATTTGACAAATAAAGTATGGAAGAGGCGATTCTGATAACGCGTGGATTGATCAATTTGAAATATTTTCGATTTTGGCATAGAGTTCGAAAAAATTAAATCAATGAACAAAAGTCAATTACAATGGAAGCAACATTTTTTCCGCTTCTCTTCGCTTTTCTCATTTCTCTGAAGCAAAAGTGAGTTTTCTGCTTTTTTCCACTTGTTCTTTTCTTTCTCCGTTTCTTTATTCATTTTTATCTGTTTGCATAGAAAATAATTAAAGGCAAACAGAAGTTAAGCCCTGACACAAAAAAACATTAATTAAATCGAAATGAATTTGATTCTCCGTGTATTTGCATTGTGGAACCAGCACTTAAAATAAAGCCAAAAACCGTAGATTGTCTGACTTCCTTCTTCGATCGAAATGGTACATCATGCTATAATAGGAGCTATCACATTTCATGCCATTCATGCTGTGCTTCGTTTTGTTTTCGAAACGAAAAGCCAAAAAAAAAATTGTCAAAATAAGATTGTTCTGTTCAAAGTCACATCATAAAAATGAAAATGATGTTTGTGAGATTCGTTCGACAAAACGAAATGCAAACACAATGTGAAACGGAAAGAGAAACAAAGTGAAAAAAAAATCATTTGAATGCATTAAATCGGATTTTCCGTTTGCCTCATCAAATATACACTTCATTTGACAGACGATCGCTTTCGTATTAATTATGAAAATACCCACGGCAGCCACGAAGACACGTACCACAAATTTAACAGCACTTAATTGTGCATCGAACATCTCAATTCTCACATTTTCTTCGTCTGCTTGTTTTCTCATTCGGAACATTGCTGTTCAGTTTCTAATTGTGACGTGTGCTTAATTTTTATGTTTCAAATGAAAAAAGACCAACCAAAAAATGCTAAGCACTTGAAAAATTACCAACAACAAAATCAGATCTAGAGATTAGTTCTGATACTATTTTCAAATAAGATCGATAAATTTTGTTGGGCAAGAACTTCCGTTTTGCACACACGTTTCTACTAATTTTGGGTATGTGTGTTTTTCTCTGAGTTTGAACAACAAAATTATCAACAGATTTTCCTCGACTGATTCATTTACTAATAACACCACCCAAATGAGTTCCATTATGGCACACAAATTTAAAGTTAAACGTTTCATTAAAATGTAAGCAATAAGTTTTAATCGTTTTAATGATGTTGAAATTTATTTTAAATAAAATGTTTAAATCGCGATTTGGGCGGATACTCAAAACACATGTTTGAATATTTTATAAGCGAAATAAAATAGCACGAGTTGAAAACGGTCTTCTTTGGAATATGAAGTAAATGTAAAAAAAATGGCGAGAGAGCTCGCTTTGTCGTGGCAAGAGGTTAAAAATGTGAATAAGCGATATTTCACCACACCGTGGCATATCATACACTTGTGCATACATTTGGATGATAAATATTCCGTGGTGACACGCATTTTCGAAAGCATTTATCATGCGACCATTTGCATATTTGAACTGTCAAATTACTTGCAAAGCGAACGTATTGTTATTATGGCTATTATATCACGATTAAACATTGAACGCGAAGCAAACGAGATGCGCTGGCTACAGCGACACGAATATTTTATATTTGCGATGCAACAACAGTAACAGGAACTCAAAGACTGCGGCATTGAAATTGATTCGCGTATGCTCCTTTTTTTACACAGTTTTAGATATATTTTATGAAAACGACCCAAATGAAACTCATTTCCACAAGAGACCGAGAGACAAAAAGAGACCGAGAAGGAGAGTGAGAGAGAATAGAGCGAGAGAGAGACAAAAAGAGAAGAAGAACAAGACAACGAGAGGGAGAGAGAGAGGATGCGGTGATACACCGTGAAAATAGAAAACATTTATTCATTACATAATGTAATTTACATCAGGTTCATTTTGGTGTAAATGTCTGTGTGCTGTGTATTCTTGTCGTCTAATGCTTTTGCCACTCTCAACAATAGTGCAGCAAATAAAATTTATGCAAAATGCAAATGAACATAGAAAATGTGTCAACAAAATAGAGAAACAAATGTCATGAAAACGAAATCAACATTTTTCGGGTGGTGTATATGTGCGCGTGTTAAATTTGCAATAAAAACGAGAACGAAACTGAGCGACGGATCGTGAACAAAATGCGAGAATGGTTGTTGTTTTTACAAAAACCGATGAAGTTCAGCCATTTTGAAGGCAATTTATGATTTAAATGTACAAACATTGCCAAAATGTACAATGTACATGATCTTGCTGTTTGTTGTTCACTTGAATTTCCACGAAAGGGGAACATTTCGTTCAATGTTCGTTCATATTCTCGGAAATTCACATGCATATTCATCATGCATTAAGACAGAAAGACATACCAAATGATGTCCATTTAATTCCGTTGTCAAAATCATTTGCATGAAGTACTGGCGCAATTCATTAGAATTTTTAGCCGATCCGACCTCCAACCCAATTTTGAATAAAATGAACTTTAAACATTTTCGATGTGAATGTTGACATATTTTTATGATTTAAATTATTTGAATAAATATTTTCCAGTCGGCGATGCACAAACAGTAGAAAATGTAGGGTTCATATGGCAAAAAACTAACATGAAATAACACTTGTGTTTCGATGACAAATTTTCACGATTTCACGCACAAAATAATTTCACACTCTTTTGTCTTCATAATTTTTTGTGTCGTCGACTGAATGAATTCGATATTTGTATATTATTAAGCGATTGTGTTACATCAATGGGATTTATTGAAGCGTCATTTACCACAGCGATATGTTTATTGAATACAGAGAAAGAGAGTGAGAGACAAAAAAAAAATGAGCAACATCAGTAGCGATGAATATGAGCGGTCATGCCTAATTGAACACCCTAAAAAATACCATTATTGAATGCATGTTTTTTGTATGGATATTTTACGTAATAGAGAGAAGAGAGCCTTCAGTTCCTCCCCGAGCATAGTCTTGGCATTGATGCGAGAAAGTAACACTTGTGTGCCGATGTGTGCGCATGTAAAGGGGCGCTAATTTGAACGATTCAGTGATGATTCGCAGGCGATTCATTCAGTGTAAATGTGCCGTCAAGGCGTATGAATAGCATGAATGAAATCTATATCACACTTATACCGTTGAATGAGTGTGTTTTTAGTTGATTATGATTTTCACGATGCTCATACATTTTGGTGCGTCGATTTCAAATGTACGATGAATGACAAGCGACGACAACGACAACTATTGTTTGATCAAAACAATTAGATCAAATTACATTCATTCAAATGACATGTGAACAAAGTAATGAAAAATTAAGATATTAGCGCTTGTAACCCTGCAAATATTCAAATTGTCAATGTGGTGCGTCATAAATGATATGTATCAAAAACGAAGGCAAAGAGAAGAGAGAAAAAAAACGTACAATGCGATAAAAATCTGGCCGACTGCTGGATAATATCATCGAAAAAGAAGGCAGCAATGTATGATCTCAAATAGACGATTGAGAAATTCAGTCATAATTGAATTTTTATTTAATTTTCTCTTCATATTTTCATTCTGATTATATCATCATCAACATCATTTTGTATGATGTTTACAAATTAAAGCGATTATCAAATGATACCTTTGGTTGAGCACACGACTTCTTATTCAAACATAATTTAACCAACCGTTTGTATACTTGAACCAGCTCCGATTACACATTTAATCTAATTTTCTCGATGGTGTTGTTGTTGTTGTTGCGCCAAAACAATGTGAACACACGATTTGTTTGCTTCACTTCGAAAATTGTGAATCTTCACATTCGAAGAGTACAGATAGCAGTGCTAGCACTTGTGAGAGATGATTATCATTGCTGTTTTACCCCATATGTAACAAAATAGTCGAAAACTTAAACGAGTGCCACAAGTGGCAACGCAAATTAAGAACAAATAAACAGAAACGTATGTTTTGTTATTACACACAAACAGCAATGTGTTGTTGTGAGTATCAAATGACATCAATTGGTTTTGGCCATGTTAAATTTTGTAGAGTCCAATTTCTGTGAAATGTGAATGATGCGCCTTTATAATCCAATTCCTCTTGGATTTCATTCCGAATGCGTGTGAGTTTCCTGTGCCACCGAAAAATGGTGTGGTTCGGATGTCCTGCAATTGAAGTCATGCATACAATCGCCACCCACGATATTGTCTTTGAAAAAACCTCACGTTCGACAAGGAAATTTCTCATTGAAAATGAACACACGAAGTACCAGTATATAAAGGCAAAACGTGAAAATTAACTAACCGTGAAAAAAAAAATATGGAAAAAATCGAAAGAAAGTTGAAAACTGATTTCAACTTCATGGGAAAATCACTGAAAGAAACTTACGCTTTAGTTTTTCCAATGGTTCATGCAAAGCCGGTGTATTCGACAAATTGTGGTGATGATGATGATGGTTCGTTGTGTCATGTGACAAATGATTCAAACTATTGTTGCCGGATGACATAAGACCTGTGATTGCCGATGATACACTAACAGCTGATGATACTGTATCATGCAAATTATGATGATTGTGCAAATGATCGTTATTCGTTCCATTATTTGTACCGCCCGTTACGAAATCTTGCAGACACAATCCATGTGCATCTGACATATTCTGTAATCCACGCTCCATTCTACTTCAACTATTTCGATGCCCGCTCTACGTCAAAGTCTACAAGATAGAGAAGAAAAAAAAAACCAAAGAATTTATATAGTTAATGACATCATGTTGGGTGATTTTTTCTCTCTCTCTATCTCTCTCTCTCTCGATATAAATAACATTGTTGTCAATGTGTGTTTTACCGAGGAGATGAAAAATAGATGATGAACAAATCAGGTTAAATGACTCAATGATAACAATGATTGTGATTTAGATAAGTAATAAAACGAAAAAGTCAAAGTGTCTGTATGAAACTGTAATTTTAATTATTCTTATTATTTGTCCAAAGTCTTATTGCGACGTAAATCGGAATCATTTGATCTCGGTTTATGACTTCTAAACACAAAAAAAGCAATGACTGTTTAGGTGTTTGGCAGCGACTCAAGTATACAACTGTTTGATAAACATTTAATGGCGGAAGAGGTGCAGTTCATTTTCGGAATTAATCTTTTTGCAAATTCCACAGAATTGATGAGAAACAGTGGCTTTCTTGCGATGATAATTACGCTATTCCTTCTCTTGGATTCACGGCAATAAATCAACGTTTTGAATTTGATTATTCAATGAATTGTGAACAGCATGAAACGAAATTATTAGAAAAACAGAGTAAATGATTAAAAAATGGCTAAAAAATATTTTCTCCCGAACGAATTTTCAGCAAATCAATGCCGGAATCACAAATAGAAAGAGTCTTATCAAAAAATGTGGTTATACAAATGAAAGTCAATTGTATTTTATTGTAAAATGGTCATTGAAGTAAGAAATTCGTTTGATTTTAACTAACATTTGATCGGTCGCAATGCTTCAAAGTCAAACTTTTCATTTATGATGAAATCTTCTCTGAATCAGTTGTAGATTTAAAAAAACAAGTACTTCTTAAGAATTTTCGTGGAAATCATGAAGTGTCACACAAAAAACTGAACAAAAATATATATAAAAGACGCGTCAGATATCATGTTTTTTCTCGCTTAAAATAGCATCCGTCGCGGGGATCAATTGAACCGATTGCATTTTCGATGACACTTGAAGTAAAAAACCCTAATGCAAACATAATAAAATAATTCCAATGTTGTCGTTTAACAAGAAATCTATCTAAAAATACGATCCTTTGTTGTTTTAAAGTAATTTTTCGATCTTTTGAAAGGAAAAAAAGGAACTGCTAGCTAAAAAAAAAACTGGTAAAAAATGTGTGTCGCGATAGATAGAAAAAAAAGGAATCGGATTTATGCAGCGTTGGTTTTGTGGATTTGTTGGGCTGTTTATTTAGCTCTGCATAGCACGCATTCGTGACTTTGGTGCGTAATGATTTTCCATATGTGTGTGTTTGTACATGCGATCTTAATGCGAGGATTAGAACTTCAAATAAATCATTTTGATATTTTGCCTGTGTCGTATGTTAAACGCTGTACACGGCTGACGAAACAACTGGAGAGAATAAATTTCCATTTGACAAAATTTATCATCTAATAACTTTCTTGTTTATTCCACTTTTTTTCTCGCTCTTTGCATCGTTTCATTCATTAATTTAGTTGAGGATAATAAAAAAACACTAGTTCTCAAGAAGATTTCCTCGAATGTGACTTCAACTAATTCAAAGAGTGATCATGAGTTGTTGCAATTGAGTTAAATGCATTCGTCTAGCGTTGAAATAAAGTCAAATACCGATAATTGTTTGAGAGATTTGCAAGATGCTTTGAATACTATGAACAACTGTTTATATATTTACTATTGGACATCATATTTAATCCAATCGTCTCATCAAATATGCTGTTTGTTCAGAGAATTGAGCATAATTTATCAGCTGTAATACAGAGCTGAGAATATCCGAGAATCTGTGCGACCAATATCAAAATGGTATTTGAAGAATTTCGTCAATTGGCGCCAGTTAATCAACAACTTCATCTGAATCTTCTATTTCTTCTCACCAATTTAATTATTAAATGTTTATCAAATACTAAAAATGTAAACTGAAATTTCTGTTGGTGTTTGTAATCAAAGATAAAAAAACAGCTCCAAAAGCAATATACAATTTTAATTCAAACAATTCATATTTGAGAGAACGATAAATGTACATAAGTTCTGGTCGCTTTTTTCGAATTTTTGTCACAATTCAGCTACCGTCGTTACGTACCAACCACTAGTTTTCTTTGCACAAGAAACCAAATATTTTTTTTTTTGTTCTTTGGGTTTTTTGTTTGGTTCCACAGATAAAATCGTTCTGGGCACCACGTTTACATTTGAAATTGTTCACATTATTTACACATTTGATTTTGTTACAATATATAAAGTGTATTCTTGCATGTAAAATATTGGAGTGCATGCGATGAAAATTGAAAAAAAACTCTATCTTTTGGATTGTTTATTCAAACCAAATTCGGAAGCATTTTGATTATCAACAGTGGAAATAAAGGAACGAATATTTTTGATTCGTTTTTCTTATCAATTGAAAAAAAACGGGTTATGAAGGTGACAAAGCGACGCCAAAACAACATAAAAAACCGTCTGATCAATTATTTGTATTGTTTGATTTATTTCCCTTTTTTAAATTATAAAACGAAGGACAAGAATTCGTTTCCGGATACAGACGCAAGCGATGTGTTATTTTAACAAAATATGTTTTTTATTGTAGCATCTCTCTTTTCAGTCCATGGACAAGTGGTTAGCCGACGGCAAAAATTTAAACACCTTCAAAATGCTTCATTGTACGACGTGGCGTTTTTATGTTCAATTTTTTGTTTTTCAATGGAAATGTTTGCCAAATTTCTGCAAATAAATCATTTTTTTTTCTATAATTCCCGAATTAAAATCTATTCGTTTAAATAATCGCGGCCTGCACCGTCACTGATGATAATATACTGGTGCTGCATTGTTGGATAGGTGCCAACTCATTCAATCTATCAAATAAATTCAATTGTTTTTTTTTAAATCCATTCCATTTAGCTTCTGGCTTTTTCTAAAAAAAATGGATTCAAGATATTTACTGCAATAAATTCATGTGAGGCTTTAGATTTGAAATCAAACTGAAAACGGCCATTGAAATGCACTTTTTTGATTGAAATGTGGTCAATTCACCTCTGCAAAACGATCTTTGCCAATTTTGCATCGGTCAATGGCGATTTTGTAAATCCAAAACAACTTTAAAACGTCGAAGCGAATTGTTCGCAAAATGTTTACTCAGTCGAATCGAGGCAGTGTTCTCTCTATCTCTTGTTCACAGATATTCGCCAACGCACCGCACATACATGCAAACATCATTCCTCTCGTCCTCATAAAATATGCGACGATAATTTTTGCTGTATTGATAAATTTATTTGCCACAAAATGGTGTTATTGCGGAATATGTTTGAAAGTTTGTACAGCCGAATGGCTGCAAGTGTGTGTGACATTAAGTGAGAATGAGGCGAGATCGTTTTTATAATGCAATCGATGCTGTAAATTGGCGATGAAATAACATTGGCCGGAAAACAAGTTGTAAGCAATTGTAAATCACAGTGATGCTTTCGCCTCACAAATAACCGAGCAGATGACAATTTTAGTAAAATACGAGCTTTAGCCGAATGACATCATGAAAAACACGCGCACATATGTAAACATTGGAAATCGCGAAAAATGCACCGAAACGATAAATACAACACACAGCGTTGCCATTCGTCCACATCGTTTTGTTTATTTTAGACTGTATTTGGTGTGTGTGTCTTTTCTTTCGTTCGTTGTTTCGAAAGTGTAGTGATGCTGTGCTATCGTTTATGCCCAATGACCAATCGTAATGTAATGAATGCCAAATGTTTTATGGTTGTCTTTAGCTAAGGGAGGTGTTGACCAGATATAGAAAGAGAGTGTCTAATAACGTATGCACGATAACTGCAAAACGGATATTTACCGAATTGAATTATTGATGTTGCAGATGTACTCAACAATTGTCGCCAAAAATGCCTTCGAATAATGTGTAATACACGTTCCGTTTTCTACGTTTTAACTGCCAAACTGTTTGCCTTTCGTCGATTGATTTGTGTTCGTTTTATCAATGTTGAAGTAGCATTCAATTCTGCCGCATAATACACGATTTATTGCTATTCAACAAAACTCACCACACGAAAACACACTGTTTTTGTTGGGCAATAAAACAAAACACGGCTTCTTTTGCACGTTCAGATAATGTTCAAAATTAAGCAATGTCAATGTATTTCGGTTCGTTTCGGGTAAATTTTTTTTGGTTAAATTCCTGTTCAATTTTCTCTACACCAAACACAAACAACACACCGGACACAAATGTTGGTGCCGGCTTAGTTGAACTGTCGATAGCGCTTACTTATGCAAATAATTCTTCGGTTATATTGGATCGGTGAGTTTTCGACCAAAAATGCGAGATGCACTCTCGAGCTCACGACCAAAAACGGACACCTAACGACAATAAATTTGCTAAAAGGCTCTCGGTGTACACCACACAAAATGAATTGATTCACATGCGGTCTATTTTGCACCATACACAAATAATGTCTTTCTCTTTGTTTTTTTTTTTCTCTTTTCGGTACCGTAGAGTGTCGACGATATTTTCTTATCAGCAAACAAATAGCGCGAAAAGGGCACACATTCGGGTTTTTTTTTCTTCAAATTTTTCACCACACCATTTTTTTCTTCAAATCAACAACTTTTTTTAAACTGTTTTGTCCGATGTCAGAAGCGCTGGTCACGTTTTTTTTTTCTAAATCGACGGAAATTTTTTGAAATTCAAAAATTTGAGCGTAAATACAGAGCTGCTATAGAGAGTGATGAAATCGATTTAAAAATTCCGAGAATTTTCAATAAAATGTGATGATTTAAACACGATTTGTATATTTTGTGCAGAGAACGTTATTTTGTTCGCTGCCGATACGCACAGAGTGAAAAATGTAATGCGAAAAGAAAATTTCGAACGACGAAAATCTTTTATGCTGCGTTCACGACTAGAGCTAACGACTGAATTTCACTATCAAATGTAGCTGCTGTTCTTGCATGCTGTGTGAACTGCCGTTCGTGATCTCAACTCGATGTTGTTAGTTACATGTGTGCAAGTGTATGTGTGTGTGCCGTTGTGTCTGTGTCGGTGTTGCTCGTATCGCACAGTCATACGCTTGTATGTGTACCGTGTGATTCTCAAGCTAGTTTCATTGTGATTCAGCTACTGAATCTACGGACAAAAGGCGAGCAACAATAACAACAACAATATCAAGCGGAAAACTCAATCTCTCGCACTCGTTCACACCAAAATAATACACACAGCGAATGATATTACACTCACAGGGATCTATATATTCGACCGAAATTTATGTACGACCGTATATATTTATTTATTTTATTCGAAATTCGTGTGCCACTCGAATGGCAAAACGAACGATTCAAATGTGTTTGTAAGTCAAATATATACAATATGCGTATGCAGTGTGTCGTCTCTCTCTCAGAGCATCGTGTTTGAAAATGCTTTGTTTTTTCCACATTAAATTCGCTGGCTGATCTCACCCGTTATTCCGTGTACATGTTTTTCGAACCGTTCATGGATCTGGTGCTTCTGTTCACTCTATCTTTAAATAATATTAAAATAATGTCTAATAAAAGTGATACGGCACAAGAATGGATACATGTATATTGTGCAGTGGATAGTAGTAGCTTTTTAAAATCGCAAACATTTTGTTGTTGTTTGTTTTCGTTGTCGTCATCGCCGTTGTCGGCACACAAAATTTCGTTTGATGTTTGTTTTTTTTCTATCGTCTTTGTTGTCTCCTAAGTTTTTATTACTAAACGTGTGAGCATTGCGAGTGCCAAAGTTGCGCTCGAAAATATTGATAAAGTCAAATGGAGTGTTTTTCTTTGGGGGGAAACTTTTATTGAACTGAAATTTCCATGTTTCGCCATATTTGTTGCTTGATTTCATCTCATTTTACTGCTAAACTATGCCCGTTTTTTCCATTTTCTAGATGAAACGCTTCGTTTGTATGCGACATTAAATACTGAAATCGCTCTCTTACTCTTGAATGTCGACAGAGAATGAGATGAAACAAAGCAGCAACAATAACAACATAAAAAAAACATCGAATTGAAATTAGATGGAAACTAATAACAAGAGAGAAAATTGAAGCGCATGTGTAGTGCTGAAGCATACGATTTCCGATGATCACACCAAATGCGAGAGGAAGAAAATATATTTTATTCCGTTTGAGTGCACTAACACAAGTTGATAGCGAATAATCTTCTTCAGTTCACCATATTGCAAGAAAAGCACTGCCGAAGGAACTCACTCACACTCTCTCCTCTCTGTCTCCCTCTCTCGCTCTTTCTCTTTCTTGCTCTCATTCTTTCACTCCCTCTCTTGCTCTGGCTCGCTTCTACATTCGCCAAATCAATGGAATGGAGTGTTGCTTTTGCCATTTGTTTGTTGTGCTTTTCGTTTTGGTTTATGGACTAGTTTTATTTTCTCTCGATGTGATCTTATCGGGTGAATGTGCATCGGGCTAGATGGCAAATGAGAGTGAAAAAGAGAAACTGTATCTAGTTTAACTATTGAAACGCGGAAAAAGCGGATGAACCAAGCAAAGAAACAACAAATGATAATGGTCGAAGTGGATTGGCAAGGACAAAAACAAGATGAAGCTTTGTTGCTTTAGCGATTTTTTTTATCTCGCTCGTTCTTTTGCGAACTGCAATTACCACTTGATCGATATGTAAATGGTATGGCGCGTATGTGCATAAATTTTCAAGTAATCGGAACTGTGTGCAATGCATGCATAAATTAATAATTAAAATTTCCATGAGATTGTAATTAAACGAGAAATCATCATAGACTCGACTCGAGTCCACCGACATCAATTCATTTCAACAGACACAAGAAAATGTACTTTTCACAAAATTCTCGTTTTTCTCGGTTTTTTTTCGTTTCTCCTATTCCATCGAAGAACACATTAGTTCGTTTTTTTTAAATATTCAATGGGTTTATCGCATTACCTTCAACAATGTGCGCTCTTCGCTATTAGTTTTGCAAAGCTTATCTCAAAATAAGATGCACACATAAATTTCAGATAACAACAAACGAAACGAACAACACCAACAGCCAGAGAAGGAACGAGATAGAGAGAGTGAGAGAAAAGAGAGTGAGGGAGGAATGAAGAGGGAGGAGGAGTGAGGGAAATAGAGAAAAAATTGTAGCGAGTAGCTAGAGAAAATGGTAAAACGCGCAAAAACAAAATGAAAACAGCATAAGGAGACGATATTGGCCGTAAACATAAAACAAATGAGAAAAATAAAAGTACACACGTAATTTTTTTCGGGTGAAGCATCCAGAGCGATGAGCTTAAATAAGAAAAGCAAATTTATTTAAATTATGTTTGTGAATCAATTTTTACGTGCACACACACATACACTAAAATCAAATCAGCAAGAAACGCAAAAAGAGAGAAAAATCCAGAGATTCATTGTGCCGTTGGTTATGCGGTACCACTTTATTTTCGGTATCATATTCAGTGAGTAGTAAATGAAAATCTGGATGCTTATCTGTGTTCTGATTCTCATTCAGTGCATACACTCACTCTCTCTCTCGCTCAGTCGTGCTCTTGCGTCTAGTTAGTCTTTCTCTCCTTCGTTGGTCGATTTATATATACCTGAAATCTATCTTGTTTGTTGGATGATAACAATATGTGACATTCATAAAAGATAAGATTCGCGCACCGACACACAATTTAATCAGGTTAAAATATCGAATTGAAGCTGCTTTGTCGACGGTATACCGGTTTGTTTTTTTCTTACTCATTCAATCCTTATCTATTTCCTTGTGTTTTATCTCACGGCGAAACAATTTGGTTACTTGCACGACAACAACAACAACGATGTTTGAATAGAGAGAAGAAAAAAAAAACACGAATTACTTCCAAAACAGAATTACGCGTTACGCAAAAAAGCTGCCGAAATAAAATGAACTGCGACCACATTACGAAAAGAACTAAAGCCGTTCCAAGTGCAAAAAAAAAGAATAATGTATAGTGGTAAAAGAGAGTAGAAGATCGTACGAGGGGTTTTTGTGGCTTTGTACATTTCAATTCAATTACAGATTTCTAATTAAGCATGTTATCTCGTGACAGTCAACGCCACCGAATTGTGTGTGTGTTTTATTCGCTCTCACATTCGTTACTCGCATCTGCAACGCAACACACAGTGAATGCCTGCAACAAAAAGCAAATAAAAAAGCATTTTCATCGCATAGGAAGAGAGATAGAGCTAGAAATAGAGAAGCGAGAGAGAAAGAGAGAACACAAAAAACGGGTGCATACAGTAAATATGGAGAAAATAAAATTGGATTTATATTTATTTCAATGTGTATTGCTGTTCTTCTGTGCATAAAATAAAATTGACACGACGAAATAAAGGAAAATGAAACGAGCAAACTGATGAGAGTGGAAAAAAAAGAAACAGTAAAAGAAAAGAACAACGAAACCGACAGAGAGAGAGAGAGAGAAGGAGAGCAAGAGAACTGTTGGATAAATTCACTTTACAGCAACGTTGCTGAAGCGTACGCCACACACTGGATAATTCGATCTGGATTTCAGTGTATTTTATTTTACTATCGCAACGCATTCACAAAATATATATTAATTTTGAGTATGTTCTCTTTCGTTGTTGTTTTTTTCGCCTCATTCGTTTTTTTTCCTTCATTTGTTCGTTTTTTTTTCCTCTCCATCTCTCTCTCCGTACTTTTTTCGTTTTCGCTTTTGTCGTTCGTGCTCTGGAACTGACAAAATAAGCGCGCACACATACGAAATGAGAAAATAAAATAAATGCAAACCGCGTTTGTTTTGTTCGTTTTTACCACTCCCATTTGAATGTGCTGTTGTTTTTCTCTCTTTCGCACAACCGCACCGAATGGCATCTGCTCATATATTGCCGTTTCTGTTATCTCCCGAAAAAAAGAGAGCATCCAGCGCACAATACATTGATACCCATTTGATAAGGCTCACACTAAGTTCGTGCACCATACAGTCGTCCGTGTCGCACCCATGACACAGGATCGCAACCATTCATGCCAGTGTACTCGTGCTAGTGTGCATGATGTGTGAGTGTGTGTGTTTGCATGTGAATGCTACTTTATGGGCGTTATAGAGGTTGGGTGTAAGTTTAAAAGGAAAAATAACTCAATATTAGAAAATTCACTTTTACTGGATATTGTAAGCTCTCTCAGTCTATTTTATATAAATTAAGTAAATCTCTGCCTCTTCTTCGGATTTTATTTATAATATATAACTTTATGGAGCACATACACACGAAAAACAGTTGTATTTTTTGTTTGTTCCTTTTGCTTTGCCCGTTCATTCGTTCGTTGGATCTTGTGTTGTTGTTTTGTTGTTTGACGACGACGACGTCGACTGCTTTGGTTTATATCTACATATGGTCACATTTACGCAATATATTACATTTTGTACTTTTGGTGTGCCTTCAATCTTGGCTCACTCGTTCCATTTTGCCCGTTTGAAAATTTTATGCATGTTTTTCAAACAAAATTGGATAGATTCGTTGCTTTCTCCCTCTCTCTCTCTCTCTCTAGCTGGGCAAACAAACACGTTCGGCGCGGTAGTTTTTGTTTGGCGTTGCCATATTCTCCCATATGAATGTCAAATCAAATATATTTTATAAAGCTTCAAACCCATCTCAACAGTGCATGCATACTCCTTCTGCTGTAATGGCCATGGTTTCTTATGTTTTCGATTGCTCTGTGTTTCTCTCATCATAAGCAAGAATGTTTGATATTTGGTGTTGGGCAAACAACATAGAAGAAAATGGAAGAAATGAACGCACGACGTGATTTCATCTACTTTGTGTCGATTTTGCTATATATTTACTACATACGGTATATGGCATTGTGTGTTGAATCATCGATGTTATAATAAGCGTATTCACAACACACATGAACCAACTTGAAAGTTAG